AGCCGACGCATTCATGTATGCCCTAAAGGTTTATAATTATGATTGCAGTATGAGCTGCAGTAAAAGATCTGAGACAAAGTTACCGGATCCCTTTAAGAATTGCACATATCGTCCCTATTTTCACGAAGTGACGGTAGTGAATGAAAATCGCATACGATTTGCGTGCAGATTTTCCTCACTACCGTCACTTTGTGAAAACAGGAACGATATGCTCTGGTTCTGAAACCAGAGATGTATCACTGTGCACAATATAAGAAAGAAAATTCAAAGACTGTAATTTTTACCTTATTTTTACCTTTTTTTTCTTTCTTTGTCAACAGGGACTTCGCTTATGTGGCCAGGGACAAGGTGACCAAGCGCTACAAGTGCCACGTGTTCCGATGCGACATCCCGGCTAAAGCCATCGCCAACGCGCTGCATGAGATCTGCGCCAAGGTGATGAGCGAGCGTCAAAAGGGCAACACGATCTCCATGGTAACACAAGGTCAGATGATCAGACAGCAACAGCAGCAACAATTAATGCAAATGAAGAGCATTTCCCTGGACAGCAGTAAGGATGCCACACACACCCCATGTAAGTCTATAACACTTTGAAGGTCAAAGTTCAAAGGTTATTCTCAACAAATATATATAGAGATTGTATATTCAAAGAAAAACATATAATTTGGGGGTTATTACTGGGAACTTAAAATTATCAAAAACAGAAAGCAAAAAAACATTCCAAGAGACAGAAATAGATATATAGAAATGTGTTTGGATTAATTTTAAAAAGTCAGTCTAAAGCTTCAGGCTTGACTGGTGTTTCCTTTTTTTGTTCTTCATATGTACTCAATCACTGTAAAGGGTTTGGTTTTGACCTCACTTCATGTGTAACTTCAATCTTGAAGTGTTTTCAAATAGTTCACTTCAAATTCCAAGGGAATATGACAAAAACCCTCAAAAATAGCATTTTTCCTGCCATCTTCAGATGTGCTGCAAAACATCACCCTCAATACTTTGCTTCTTCATATTACATTCTTTTACTCCAAGCGTACGTCAAGTGCCATGTTTTTTAAGAGATGGCAACCTCTTTCTTGTACCAGCCTCTCTCAGTTTCTATCTATTTGACCTTACTGAACCGAAACCCAGGGAGCTCCTTTGAGAATTCACTGAACTAGAAAAGTATGAGTGGTTTTGAATCTGTGGTTACAGCTTAAACTCGGGGTATCTTTGGCATCATACGGTGAAACCGAGCGCGGGATGTGTTGAGAACAGTTCACACTTTCCACCTATATTGATGAGATTTTGATCAAAGAAGTTCTTAAGCTGGAATATTGTCAAGAAACTTTATTTTGCTATCATTAGAATATATTTATTGGGATAACAAGGATAAGATCTCAGTGCAACATACATGTTCATGTTGTCTGTTTCAAATCTTGGCCTTGATAATTTCAAAGTAATAATGATAATGATAATGATAATGATAATTAGGATAATTGCATTTGACATCGTTCTTTTAGTGACTTATGGAAATGTCCTAGAACAACCTCTATAACATTCAGTTGTCAGGATATAGAGAAAACATCTTAGAAATAGTCATATCCAATTATCTCAACATGATATGCTAATAAACATATTTACAAGTGATCCTAACTTTGATGTTAGTGTGGTTAGAAAAAAAAGTGTGATGTAATGAATGAACGTAAAATGTCTTACAACCAACTTAAAAAATGCTTATTTTTGTGATGGTTCATTCTCGGGAGTGATGTTGGAGCACCGGGGCCCTTTTTCATAAAATTTTTTTGTCAATAACAAGTTAAAATAACTCTTATAATTTACTGAATTCATGGCATTTGATTGGCTGAGACAAAAGTTGTCATAGAAATTTGGCATTTGTTATTGATAACACGTTTTGTGAAACAGGTCCCAGATCTTGAGATTGTGAATGCATTTTTCTTCAGAATGTGAATGCACCTTGACTGAAGAAACATTTGAAACTGTGACTGCACGAGAAAAATCATAAAGCAACTAGTGTAGATTAATTCAATGTGATTGATACACTGAACCAGATGCATATATTTATAACTGCGATTTTCTCCCCGTATGAAATTCCCTTCCGTATGGAGTCATTTCTGTGGGGTTGAATTTCTTTGAAAAGCATTCCCAACGTCAAAAACAGTTCAATCAAGTTGGATTAATTCCCATGATTTCTCTTGACAAATGAGAATCGGTTTGGATTCCCAGGCCATGAAAATATTTTTGGAAGATGGCAGGCATATCATATGGTATATCAGTATCTTCCTAAGTATGTGAGATATAACAGGGGACTCCATATGCCCACACGAGCAGTGATTTGTTTTTTGAGCCTTAAAGGTTTTTCTCTTATTCTTTCTATGTCTTGTGTAACTGTGCTATTGAAGTCATTCTCTTCATATTTATTTTATGTTTGCCTGTCTCTCCCTCTATCTCTCTCTCTCTCTCTCTTTCTCTCTCTCTCTCTCTCTCTTTCTTCTCTCTCTCTCTCTCTTTCTCTCTATTTCTTTCTCTCTCTCTCTCTCTCGCTATCTGTCTCCCTCTGTTTCTCTCTTTCTTTCTCTCTCTCTCTTTCTCTCTATTTCTTTCTCTCTCTCTCTCCCTCTCTCTCTCTCTCTCTTTCTTTCTCTCTATTTCTTTCTCTCTCTCTCACTATCTGTCTCTGTCTGTTTCTCTCTTTCTTTCTCTCTCTCTTTCTCTCTATTTCTTTCTCTCTCTCTCCCTCTCTCTCTCTCTCTCTCTCTCTCTCTCTCTGTCTCTCTGCCTCTCCTTCTTTCTCAATCAGTGTTTTTATTACTATCTATATATCTTTCTGTCAGTGTTATACCTTATTATCTCATTCTAATTCTCTTGGTTGATTTCTTTTAGTTCCTCAACATTTATGAGATGGTTTATTCATTTAATTTTCTTTACACATTATGAACAGTGCATAATACTCTCTTTCTATTCCAATATCTTAAATGCTGTATTCTTTTCCTGATTCTCCCAGGATACCTCACATTCTATCATGATATTCGATTATCTTCTCTCTCCTCTGACACAGCAAACAGATATGCAGTGCATTAATAATCTTCCTCAATCTATTTTTAAACATGTATCGTGTATGATACAGTATGGTATTCTTTTTTATTCTCTGTTGTTCTCTCACAAGTTGCATAATACTTGATTGTCTCATCAATTCTCTCTCTCTCATCCTCTCTTTCCCTGACATAGCAGCAGGTGTGGACTTTCCTACCCCCAAGATGGAGCCCATCACTGTCTTCCGTGCCAACTATGTAGGAAGTACATCAGCGGTCAAGCAATCAGGTCAGTTAAAACAGTTTGCACTAATCAATTTAAAATGACCATCAACAACGACCAACAAAATATATATATATATATATATATATATATCGCATGTTTACAAGGACACTTTCAAAACTCAATAGAGAACAATGAAATATATCTGATGACAACTCTGCAATATTCTTTTGTTGACAAATGTTCGAGAAAAACAGTTTGCCACCATAAACAAAGCAAAGATAATGAACAAAAAGGGAGGGGTAATACATTATGCATAAAAAATGACAATTAATTTCCTTCATGCTTCCTTTCATAACCAAATTTTGCAGCAATAGTACAGTACCTTGCTTTTGGGGTATTTTATTTCCTTCTTGCCACAGATATAACATTATCGATACCTTCGCTTTGTCTAATTATTTTTTCCATGGCTGTATAATACTTAGGAAAGATTGTTACAAAGTTGAAGAAGGGTTAAACTGCAAAAATGCAGTATGCGTACGAAATATCGTACAGTGCAATGGTTTATTAAAGGAACATCATCTAACTTTTGAGTAATCGATTTTTAAAAATCTGAATCGACTATCTCTGCATGCTATTTTTTTTCTACAGGCATGGATGTCTTGAATGATGCCATTGACAAGGTGGTTGGCATGGTTGGTGAAGACCAGTGGACTCCGGCTAGGATTGAAGTAGCCGTCTCAACTGTCACTGTCACAAGTGTCAAGGTACGTCATGCACCATCTAGTGGTAGTGGTGGTAGTGGTGGTGGCAGTGGTGGTGGGGGTGGTGGTGGTGGTGGTAGTGGTGGTGGTAGTGGTGGTGGCAGTGGTAGTGGTAGTGGTGGTGGCAGTGGTGGTGGCAGTGGTGGTGGTAGTGGTGGTGGCAGTGGTGGTGGTAGTGGTGGTGGCAGTGGTGGTGGTAGTGGTGGTGGCAGTGGTGGTGGCGGTGGTGGTGGCGGTGGCGGTGGTGGTGGCGGTGGTGGTGGTAGTGGTAGTGGTGGAAGTGGTAGTGGTAGTGGTAGAGTTAAAAGTGGTAGTGGTAGAGGTGGTGGTGGTGGTCCAGTAATACTATTCTAAGGCATATTGTAAAGAAAAAAAGGTGGAACTTTATTTACCAAAATTGTTTGAAAATGTAGTAGTGTGCATTTTTTTTTAGAAGAAGACTGTAGATTAAAGATGTTAGAGTTCACAGTTTGTATGAAACCTATACTAGTATCCTTTATTTTATTATGGTGCGCAAATGATTTGGTGATGAATCGGTATTACAAGCTTTTGATACTTGGAAAGAAAATCAGGACGTCTCTGAAACTAAAATCTTACTTCAGTATGTTCGAACCCTCAAATTAAAATTGAAAGGAAAAGAGATGTGCCTTCTTTTTAGTCCATAGAATATTTCTGTGTAATATTTCTATCTGAAATACCTGTATGCTGAGATGTGTGCTTTGTCATGCCAAGACACAGTAGGTAGAAGAATTTTCTGTTATTTCTGCACTTTATTCAAGTACCTCCATGAATTTAATTTATGGCATCCACGCATCTCTCTGAATAATTAACCCACATGGGTGGAGAGTACTTTTTAATATGCAATAATGTGAATGTTATGGTTGCATGTACGTAAAGTGCTCATAAAAAACATGGATGTATCGCCATGTTTGAGAAGTGCTTGCTTTTATAACTTCTCTCTATTTTACTCTTTTTTTCCAGACCAAAGAAACAATCGCTGAGAACAGGATACGTTTTATGTCCTTCCTAGGAATTGGCAAAGACAGCAGGTAAGATAGAGTCCATGTGAACACCCCTTTCATTGTGAATAGAGAAGATGCCTATCTCCTCTCATGTTCCTATGCATTGAGTAGAGTGCGTTGCCACTGGGTGATTTATGTGAAAATTTACAAAATATAGAAAGTGAGCAAAGGATATGTATCATGAAATAGTTGACAACTTAATATGAAGCCTGTAAAGATTTCAACTCTTTTGGAATTGTCATGCCTAGAAAAAATACACTATCTTCAGCAATTTCATGATTATAATGCATATATCCCAAGCAAGATACAGTCAAACCTGTGTATAGCGCCAACCAAGGAAAACACAAAAAGTGGTCTTTATAGACAGGTAGTCATTAAAGCAGGTTTGACCGTACCCACATTAAATAAATACTTTATGTTTTTGGAGCATTCATGTGAATAGAACTGAGAAAGCACTTCATTTATCCAACCTTGATGCTGTGTTTTGAAAGCCAGAAAGGCATGAAATCTGGTCATTTTACACAGCATTTAGATCCTTCTTACTCTCGGCACAAATGATATGGCAAGTTAACCGGGAACATTTGCACTGCATGCTGCTGCATTCATGATTGAAATCAGTTGGTAGCGATTCTTGATCGCTTTGCAAATTGGCAATAAAGAAGCAATTTAGGAGGGAATTAGGAGGGAAGCAGACGAGCTAATTTCGGTGCATCGCATCTGAATTATCAGAACAGAGTGTGTAGTACTGTTTCTCTTCTACTCTCAGCTCTAGAATACATATACATTTTAGGATATGTACAACACTTGATATGGTAAATACTTTTTTTTAATAACTTGTTATTATTTAATACTATGAGGCTCTGTCACCTTATTTCTTTCTTTCATGAATGAATATATTCTTCCATTATTGTGTCGTATTCAGATTTTTAAAATAGGATTAGAAATTGCCTGTGTTCTGTTATTTGGGTTCATAAGATATGAAAAATGGTTTTTAAGACGATGGTCTAGAATATCTTTAAAAATCCATTTCATGTATATCACGAGGCGGCAGGTGGTTGCGATGAATGAAATGCACAATGTTTCGGTTACCACGACTTTGAAATCGTGTATCAATGCAAGCTATAGTGTTGCATTGTGGATAACGCAAGATCCCGCTCGGCAGCGGCGAGGGAGCAATGTCGATGAAGAATGAGAAGTGACAGATTTAGGACATCACGCACGAATGTGGAGCTCGTATGACTCATGTCCGTCGTAGAACATAGCCCGATGGATTTCTCTGTAGCCCAAATTCTAGTGTTATTAAGACGCAGACTGTCTTTCATTGAATGGCGGTGATAGATTGGAAGGATATCGGATGAGTTAAGGTTGAAAAAGAAGGTCTTCCTACTTGTCCATTTTGTCTTGGTTTGGTTGCTGAATCTACATGTAGATGGAGAGAGAATATGATGATTGTAAATAGTTTAATCCAAAGTTCATTGATACAATGAGTACTTTTTTTTCGAAGTGAAATGAAAGCATTGGAAATACTAGGTACAATTTGAGATTAATGGCAGCCAGCACTATAATACTTTAGAGGCGAAATCAAAATTATCTGCCTGTATTTTGCTTTCAAGAAGGTAGGAATTTTTTTTTTAAATTCTTTGAGTGTATATATTCAGTTTTCTTGACTGGGTTTTATGTCAAATAACAATTTTAAAGATTTTTAAAAAGAAGGATATCTCTTACAAGTCTTCAAGTTTTATGATGTCAGAAGCAATCCCTACATCACGATTGTCTATTATGCATATTTTGTATAATAAATTTGTATATGTTGTTTGTATCGTTTCTGATCCAGGGCCCTCGAGGACAGCAGTTTTTCATTAAACTGAAGAGGCAATCCTGTTTAAATGAAACTTTAAAAAAAGTAAATAAACGAATGAAATCTATCGGTTGTTCTCTGTTTTCCTTTTCCTTATTCAGACACTTTGCATACATCATGTGCATCGGGAAGAACAAGTTCCAATGTCACGTCTTTACCTGCGAGCACTCCGCCGGGGGACTAGCCAAGGCGGTCGAGGCAGCATGCAAGGTACGTATTAAAAGGAATCTCATTTCCTCTGGTCTATGTTTTCTGAGAGGAACCAATGGTTTTGATCTCTTAGTGGGTTTAAAGCCTGTCTGCACTACTTGTAGCTACTTGTGCCCTCTATATGGCAAACAATGCCTAAGCGGTACCTGTTGGTCCCCCATGATCCCCTTGTTCTTATATTAATTGAGAGCTGATTTGATGAGATAACCACCTGTCAGTGACCACGGCAGGGAAGTCTAATCCCTCCTGGCCAAACTAGTGCAGACAGGCTTTAAGACCTTATAGTTTATTAGAAGGTGAAATAATTATGACTTAGATGTCATTACCATGACCAGGAGGATATGTAAAAACACTTGAGTGCATAGTAAAAATTACGGCACAGACGTCTGAAAAATAAATTAACAAATTTGTAGTTAAACTTGGTATTCCTTTCTGATGTAAGCCTGTACATTAGTTTTGCATGGTGTACATGGGTGGATGTAACTAAGAAATTACAACTTAAGAACTTTGTTTGTCTGAATATTTTGTAAGGAGTAGTAGTAATAATTTGAGATATTTTTGTTAAGCCTTTGAACAGCATATGAATGGCATGAGCTGTAGGGTCTCAGCATCTTAAAGCTCTGTAACATTTGAATTTCACTTCATGTTCTACCAAATATTAAAATAATATTAAGTTTTATAAAAATTTCCAGCAGAAGTAATATTTAATCGTTCATGTGTAAACACCTAGTCTATTTTAAGCCTTTAGTTGCTAATAATAAGGGCAGGAAAGGGCTCAATAAAGTCATTATTGCTACTTTTTTTGCTATAAAGTCTAAAGCTTATTTGTCCGTCTGGTCTCTGCTATGTATCCCGCAGTCTTACCACCGATCAATCGGACGCCCAAGAACCGAAACCATTGCCCTTGAGGTAAAACACATTGTCAAGAGTGCTGGATTCAAACATAAAACATCCAAAGACAACGTGAGACACCCCAAATTTAAATTATCTCCATGTCTTTCGTTGAAGTCTCGTCCTATTATTTTAATCCTCTCTCTCCCTCTCTGTCTTACTCCGCGAGGGGAGATCGAGAGTGTGGTGCATGTTTTGCAAGTCGTTCTGGTCCTTTTTCGTTGATAAATTATTTTTCAATTGTGATGACTTTGTTAAAATTTTGTTAATTTTTGACTGGTGTTATATATCATGCATAAATTGGGACTGATCTGCAATTTTTTTTGGTATATACAATTCAGCACTCATGTATTACCTCAATGACAATTGCTATGCTACTGCTATTAATAATATCAACTTATTAAGTTGCTTTTATATGAGTTTGATATTATTCCCTGTTTGTGCATTCATCTTTCATTTTTCTATAAGTTAGCTCGCATTGTTTATATATATATATTTAGAGAGATTTAAAAAAATCTGTAGTACATCAATATTTCAAATAAAGAGGCTTAAGTTAATTATATAATTGATTAAAATCATGAATAAACCATCATCCTGTAGGCAAGTTGAGTGGTGAACAGTTTACCTTTTTCCCATACAATGCAGTGGGCTCTGATTATTATTAATAACTTTATTTTGATATAATCAAAAATCTCCAGTGACAATGGCTCCACAGTCACTTTCCTACACCATCCATAATCTTAACTTCAACCTTGGACCGAACACTATGTTTCAAAGCTAACCCTAAACCTAACCCTAAACCTAACCTAAAACAAAGTTACAACCCTAACTTTAAACCTAACCTAAAACATAATGACAACCCTAACCAAAAACCTAACCTAAAACCAAACAAATACACCCCTAACCCTAAACCTAGTATGAAGCATAATTACAGCCCTAATCCTTAACCTAACCTAAAGCCTAAGTACAACCCTAACCCTAAACCTAACCTAAAACAAAGTTACAACCCTAATCCTGAATCTTTGATGACGAAATAAAGCCAAAGCCTTTATTGTCAGAGCACCGGGATGTTGTTTTGCTTATGAAAAAAAATTGTCAGGAAAATAAGTCCAGACTTGCCAGTGGATTTAGATTGAAGTTTCAAAATGCCCCTCCCTCATTTTCTTATATTTCTCCTTTCGTCTCTATCACATATTTTAGCTGCGGTATCAGAAGTGCTTGGATGCTAACCCAAAGGGGTCCCTGATCAACTCAGCAGATGGCAAGGTAGGTTTGAAAATCTTAAAGCCCCTCTCAAGCGTTGGGAGACTCAAATATTTGATGGCAAGATTTCACTTAAATTGTACAAAGATGTGAAAGAGGATGACATTTAACACACACTTCTGCAAGGATTTTAAAATATATACATTGTAAGGCCAATATTTGATGAAAGATTACAAAATGTTAGTTTGCTGTTGTACGCAGAAAACCCAGATACTTGTATTCTTTCATCAATATTCATCTTCAAACATATTTGTTTTAAAAATCCTTACAGATTTGTATGTTAAATGATATCCTCTTTCACATCATTATATAATTTAAGTGAAAGTTTGCCATCAAATTTTGGAGGCCCCCAACACTTCAGAGGGGCTTTAACAATGTGGGACTCTGCATGTTACAAGCCAGTTCTCAGATACAACTACGCATTGGTAGATGAATGCATTTAGTACAAAATTGTAATAACCTGACAAGATGAATAATGAGACTTATGTAATAATTATTCATTGATGCACCGACATGCAGTACATCCTATGCTACACGCGTGGGAACTTCCTTCTCAACAGGGCAAACAAAAGGTATTCATGAAGCACCTCCATCACTTTCGCAGTGATTCTTCCCAAGTGCACTAAATAATACTTCTGTGTAAAAGATCTGCGGACATTTGGGGTCATTTGTACCATGCACTAATTACGAAACTGGTCCACTGTTGTGATTTAATTCAGTTTTGACTTTAGACTTCCCATATCGAATGTGTTTTCTATTCTGTGCTGTCAGAATATTACAGTATAAGTTCTTGCTGATACAAAGAGCTTACACTGTATTATATGAACCCCAACACAAGATAACCTGGGTAGATTGTTGACAGGTAAATGTTAGGGTCACTTCAAGGAAAATATTAAAAAAACAAGGGGCCTGGTTGTATATCTTTGATAGTTTGAACAAGAAAAGGAGAGTCTTTTTGTGAACACAAGGACATCGTGCTCTCATCCTCCGTGGTAATTGATTTAAAAAATTGAGATATTCTCGTTTCATACAATGGTTTGAAATCATTCATTTTATAGAGCCTGCAAGAAGGTAGTTACTGCAATTGACAATACATGCTCCTTTAAGCCTTCATGCAGGGAACTGATGATATATGATATAAATGTATAAACTCTTAGTTTTTATAATTCATGTTTGTTCTGTTCTTTCTTTGTTTGACAGACATGGGGCTGCGCTCTCAAGACCGGCATCCAATCCATCTTCACCAAGATGGGTACGCTAAGGATACAAGGCAAAGATGCTCCTATCAGTGCAGTCTAGACTCTAGAGCATCCACTAAACTGATGATGCGTTGCTTAGCAACCGGACAACCTAAGAGCTAATGATCTCTAAAACTTTACTGGTTATAAACCAGTCACTGAAAAAAAAAAACTTTGGAAAGGGAGTTTAGAAGGATCATGCTGATCTCTAAAGAGAGTAAGATAAAGTAGAGGGGGCGGAGATTCATTGGATTGCAAGACCGAAATGTAGATGCGGCAATGTCTATAAAAGCGGTTCTACATCGAAGCACGCTGCAATATGTATGTATATCTGGTGATGGTTAGTCCGCAGTGTGATTTGTTCGACGTCACGAGGCGTTCCTTTTCTTCTGTACTCAAGACATTCTATAAATACTGTGTGCTGTAATGATAATGTTGATGATGATGATGATGATGATGATGATGATGATGATGATGATGATGATGATGATGTTTAAAGCATGGATATTGAAAGTGATGTGGTACTGTGAACGAGGAGTGCAGTGATTTGTTCTTATATTATGCTCTTACGATATAAAGTGTGTAAGATATTAAGAGAGAGAGAGAAAGAGTTGATGTATGTTTATATTTATGTATGAGGCTTTACTTGATAAATGATAACTACTGCATTGCAAGTGTCAAGAATAGCAGTGGGTGTTTGGGGGGGGGGGATTAATTTGTGACTGTATCAATTAAAGATATATAAACTGGTACAATAACTTAAATGTATGTGGGGTAAATGGAAACTTACAGTTTACAGGAAAACTAGTAAAATTAAACTTATACTCCTGTTGAAACAAACGGACTTGTAAATCACACAACTGCAGTTCAGTACATTTTGAGTACAGTCTTCTGTTAAAAGTGATGACTGTTATTTAAAAAAAAATACATACATGTTAAAAATCTGTACATATAGTCGCACTGGGAAACTATCTACTCAGATATTTATCACTTTATCGTATGCACTGTGACATAACGTGAGCATTTTTGTGTCGATTTCATGTTCATCTGCCTTCTCAGAAGGCTAGTCGAGTGACGAGAGTCAATTTAAAGCAAGAAAACAAAATATCTTCTCTTGTTCATTTATATCGTTCTTGTGTGCTGTTCCGTGCAATTGTAAGAACATTGAAAATGTTCGCCGTATGAAGCTGTTGTGACATTCATGTACTTAATTTAATTATACACTATCTGAATAAGCAACTTAAGCACTTTCTGAGGCCGCAGTATTTTAACCAGTGCTGTGATATATATATATATATAATACAGCCGATGTATATTAGTGGTTGTGATTGTAGTAGAAGTAGGAGTAGATAGTGGTGCATTTGTGAAACTCAATATTACACAGTCAAGCAGCCGTTATGTGGGTCTGTTAACACTTTTGCATGTAAATGCTGGGTCATTTCAAATACTTGAGGAGTCGCAGATTGTTTGATAAATAATGGAATAGTATTACATCAAGTGTTTATTTCACCATAAGCAGTCAAATCCTTGATTGCCATTATTTCAAACAACTGATTTAGATTTCATAATAAAGATATAGATTTAATCAAAAATCAAAACATTTTGAAAAGATGGAAATAACACTCTTTTTATAATACAGAAAATGGATTCTGAAAGGCCTTGAGTAAACTTGAGGGCAACGTAGAATTGACACAAATCTTAAGTTTGTGTGGATCAGCATTTCAGAATAAGAAACAAAAGACTGTCGTCAAAGACTCATTATTTACAGAAGCTTGCACCACTGATGCAGCAGAATCTAAGAAATAGAAGTTGAATTTAAACAAACTTAAATTGATGTTAAACTCTTGATGGACAGAAAATCAAGAAAAACTCAAATTTAGCAGGATAGAATTAGGAATTAGTGGACTTCTTTTTAGGTTTGTGACAGTTTTCATAAAGAGAGACGAGTCCCCAAGCAGCTGGAATTTTGATGACCGCAAATGCCTTGTTTTCTTGTCCCAGAATTAATCACGGTGCAAGCAACGGTAGAAATCCATCTAGTGGTCTAATATCAAAGCTAATTTAAACAGAATCAGAAAAGCTGCTCATGTGTATACTTGCCTAGACACTGTACAAAAGAACATCTGTATGAAAAATATATTGTCGTTCTGTAGGCAGATTCGTTTTGAAATCGCTGTGAGTGCATGTGTGTAACTTACAAGGTAGGCTACTATTAAGACGCATTAAACCATTCCAGTCGATTACACCGTGGGTAGATTAACTTCAAAGTTCTACATGGCATTTTAGTAAGATGATGAAGTATCGTGCTGTGTCTGTTTCGTGGAGTGACTATAGTAGAAAATATTTAGAATTGTAGATGCATATTGGCTCTCAAAGAATCTAGACAAAAAAATTATATATTGTGAAGATATAATGGCATACAAAATCTAAATATATGTATATCCTAGAAGTAGTAGTGATGATGTGTGCGTGTGTGTGGTTCTGTGTTTCTTGCCATTTATTTATTCTATTGCCAAATGCACGTGTAGGTATTTCTCTCTTCTTCAATATCAGATTGAAATGATCAACACTAATGACAAAGTCATGATTTCACAATGATGGCGAGAAAATCACAAACTCATCATGGGTTACAAACCAGGCTGGGTGTTTTCAAGATAGACGTGATGAATAAATAATATCAGGATGACATGATTTGGTTTTGATTATTGAAAGCACAATATTCTCTTAAAAGAGAAGCAAATAATGTAGAAGTAGATACATGTTAATCAGTTTAACTTCTTGGAGGTGCACAGAAAAAATGTTCTTGTTGTTTCTTCATACCATTTAGGCATACCTGGAGAAGCATTGTTATGGAATATGCCCAAGACTGCATCGATTATTAAAGCAAAGTGCAATAGCGCCATCTTGAGTTTCCGTGAATCAATGACGCCTTCACTCTATTAAACACACATCTGATTTGCGGTGTCTTGTCAGAGAGTATAGGGTGCAATGAAACAAATGGAATGGCAGATAATAGATATCAAAATATTCATTAATCGCTTCTGTAAATAGCGCCGAAACTAGTGACATCATCTTAAGTCTTTATTGTGCATCACAAGAAACAACATTATCATACTAGTCGTGAATGTGTAACGTGTGCTGCCTGCAGCAAAGGACATCTTAACATTACTTGTAAATAAATCATTCATATCTTTGTAGTGTACATATATTTGTAAAATAAAATACTGTGTGTTACTTGGATATGGCATAATAAGATGTTGAAAAGTAAACCATTGCACTCAAAAAACCATTCAACAAACCAACGTAGCTAGAGAGATTCGCACCGAAAACAATTATTCTACATGTAGCCTATATTTAGAAGTAGTGTGTTGCACTGTAGAAGCATGTTCGGCCTCTACTTTATCAAAGTAGATCAGTAGACTATATCGTAGATGTGACAGCGACTCATTTAGCACGTCTAGTTGTTTGTCGTCAAATTTTAGCTCTTGAGTTTGTACAGATATTTTCAATCAAGCAATTAAAAAGTTATCTGAATTAGATTTCTATTCAATGTTTTTTTCTGAAATTCTACATGAGTAATACTATTATGTGTGTACAGAGAAGTCTTTGTATTTTTTTCTTTCTTTCTGTCGTTCCTCGAGCAGTTCAGCTATAGATTGTGGTATTCTTTTATTGTATTCAGAACTTATTAAAGAACAGTTTGGGCCTCCTAGTTTACATGGTCAATAAAAGCTAAGGGAGGCGAGAGAGCATTTTTGCTTCAAACAAAATTGATAGCATCTATCATATCAAATTCCAATTTTTGAAAGTTGTCAACTGTTTGACAGATATGAACTGCATGCCAGAGAAATATGATTTAAACTCCATATGGACGCTTGCTTCATGCGTAACTTTGGTAGGGCAGTTCTATCATCATCATCAACGATTTGGTTGTATCATTTTGTGCTTGTATACAGGCTGAAACAAATTATTTATCTAGAGTTAGAATTCATGTGCAAAATGTAGGTTAGAGATAGTAGATACAAAAAATATGTAAAATGAAATCAGAATTTCCCAACTATTATGAAGAGGGTTTGTGAGACGAATGTGTACTTATAAAAGAGGGAATGTATAATGAGACTATTTGTGTTTTATAAAAATATTGATTTATATATATTGCTGTGTATTCTTATGTTACATATTATTGCATTGCGTTGGACAATATCAAATCCACTATGCTTCCTTTGTTGTTTTGTTTTTTTCCCTTTTTTATTATGTTGTAGTGTACTTGTAGGATATTACTGCCAAGATAATCAAGATATTTAAATACAAAGATTTTTATGCATTTTCGAGAGTGTTCTATATAATTAGCGAGAGATGAAAAAAATAATAAGTTTACGTGTTGTTTGTATTATAGATATATGTCTGTATATTCTATCATATTGTTTTGTATTCAGTGGCGTTCATGTACTTGAAAGATTATCAGCTTTTATGCTGGTTTCAAAATGGGTTTTCAGACGGGGAAAGGTTTATTCAACGTGCAATTTATGATAAGCAGAATATTTCTAGTAATACAATTCACCTTGTATGAAGTTAAGAATAATTAAAGTGTGCTGTGGTATTCAAAGACTTCACTTATTATAGTAATGACTATTAAAAACATAATTTTGAAAGGAATTAACAGAATATCAGTATATGAAATTGGAAAACAAAAACATTAAAAATGGCTATTACACAAATTATGTTTATGACTTAAATGGGAGAATAAACTAAAAATAATATGCCAACATGCAAGACATTTGTAACCAGTTTATGTGCTTTTGTTTTGTATATTAATTAAGTTCCTCTACTTTGTGTCGAGTTAATAATATATTTTAGAGATTGTTTTGTAGCTCCTATTCAAGTCGTGAAAGATTTATTTTTGTATGGAATTAGGGAAAGAAGTTTGATATTCATTGTCGTGAAGAATAGAAAGGGTCTATCGAGTGAGCTGTGGAAAAAGAATTTGTGAGTTTAGTGGATATCTGAAAATCCATTCCAATCATTTTCAATGTATTTTGTTCTCACTCAGTTCGACTAATGTGTGTTAATTTTAGATGTTTTATTTTTTGTTGATTTCAAGGCTTTTTTACCGCTTCGGTAACTATGAGAGAATTCAAAGAGCTTTTATAAGTAATAGACATTATTTCCTGCATTTTATGCAAAACGGATTGGTTCACCATGCAAATTTGTTTTTCTGTCACAAAAATGAATTTTTGAGAGTAATGTACCAATGACGATTTGAGGTGATATTTCACATAAAAGCTTTGAAGATTGCAAACCTTTTGTGTGTTTTGCTGTAACTGCTGCACTTCTATGAAAGGGCAGAGACATGTTTGTGAACCATTCTCATTATTTGTCAAATTCAAATTAGAGACACAGTTGACTCTGGAACTGATAGAAGTTTGGCAAATGTGGATTTTGCTCAAGCAATGAAAAATTTGTTTCAATACGAGCAATTATTCCATGTCACTTGTACATTTTTTCTAAATAGTTATTCTAAATAAGCGATTCACTACTCTCTTTGACGTTACTGTGCATAAGTAGAAAAGTAGAAGCTGTATGTGTGTGCTCGTATCACCACTTCATTCGTTTGACCAAATTTGACATTAAAAAAACCACTGTAGTCTAATTGTGACTGAAAGCGTATGAGCGCTTCAACCTAAAACACTTGTGAATCAAGAATGATTTTTTTTTCTTATCATGATTTTCATGAGGAGATACGACTGCAACGAAATGTAAGAATCATGAAAAATATGTGTTGTTCTTTTTTGAGTGATTTCAATGACATATTAGAGTTATGAAGATAATATTTGCCACCTTTGTAATCATGTAATTTCTAAAGTGCATAGGAAGGAACAGTTCACACTTGTTCCTTATTTATATATAAGTCTCACCACCTTTAAGTTGGATTGCAGCTGGCAACAGCCCGGGGGGGGGGGGGGGGGGGTGTCGGTCTTATAGAACTGAATGGGAAGGAATTTATTTGTCAATGTATCAAGGTATTTGTGAAGGATGATATTGGGGGAAAGGTTCCCAAAAAGAGTAATATCTGTAGATTTATGAAATAAGATGACGAACATGTCAAGTTATTTACACGTTGGAACAACAGGAAACCAGCCACTGTTTGAACAACAGATATGAATAATATACTTTTCCCTTTGAAGGGTGCAATACTGCAACTAGAAACAAATTATACCATGGTTCTTGCCCTAATCAGAAGTGAAGTCTACTATTTGACTTATTTGAAGATGTGAGTATGTACAAATAAAACTGGACATCAATGACAATTGATTTTGAAGAGTTAGGCTAGAATTATAAAAAAATGCAGAATATTAGCACTGTTTTTCTACCCTGCATGGATGCTTATACCAGCCTCTTGGAGTGTAACTCCTTTAGAGACATTTTAATTAAATCTAGTGCAATTAGAGTAGATATTTATCTGAAGCAACCACAATCAAAGATTGGTTTTCAGTAATAAAGTACACAAATGGCATAAAATAGTAGCACACACATTTTGTACAAGGGAGAAGTTAAGGTCTGTTGTAATTAACGACTACTATCGCATGCAGGAACTTATGATGTGATCTGTGAAAAAAGTCTAAAACTTCAATAGTTTGCAATCATATTGGGTGGTAGCCTGGACCCCTCGCCAAAAGAGCATTTTATAAATTGATATGCAAATGGCTGCACTATTTACTGTAAACTAAACAGAAATAACACAAAATGATAAAATAATACCTTTTTGGAAATTACAGACTTGTTGGAAATCTTTGGCATAATTTTGTAATGGTGCTGTGAACTGTGCAATTAAAGAAAACATTAAAAGGTCAAATATATGGTTTGAATAGTCTATGTGTGCTTTAGATATAGAATATACATGTTCGAGAACATGTTTACCCAGAGTGCACAAATACATGTATATGAAATAGAATATATATGATGTAGCTTTAAAGTGCTTTATTAAACATGCACTGAATACATTGTTCATCGTTTGCATGACATTTTAAGGCTTACAAGATCAACAGATTCACCTTAATTTGATTGATTTTTAAGGGGGAAAGTAGAATTGTTATTGTAAAAAATTGCTGTGGCAAGTACCCAACCAAATATGCAGATAATAGACGTTTAAAGTGTCATGGTGCCCAATAAAAAATGCTGTAATTTTTCTCCCCCAAATGCTGTAATTTTTGCCAGAAATACCCTTGTAATTGCATACATCATAAATTGTCAGTTTTTTTTTTCTTCAGACGATCATGTTTTACATTTTGTGGTGGTTAAGTGTTCTTCATAATGTACATTATTTGTCAATGAGAAATAAATGTTGCACTAAAATAATTCCTTTTGTATTTGTGATCTCATTTTTTAAACCTTGTTCTGTCATTGGCCATGCAGGTGACACATGCATTAAAATAGACCATTTTCGTAATATAACCACATTTAATGCAGACGTCTTTGTGAAGGTCCTCGATACAAGCATTTCATTCACCTGTAACGAACAATTAATTGTATTTCAATAGTCAGAAAGCAAATTGTATACATATTGGCCCAAATTCACAAAGCAAGGTTTGAGCTCAGACCAAGGTTTGTCGTCAAACCTCCTTTTGTTTCGCCAAACCTCCTTTTGTTCTTTTCAAACCAGGTTTGTAAATAACAAAAGGAGGTTTGGCGAAACAAAAGGAGGTTTGACGACAAACCTTGGTCTGAGCTCAAACCTTGCTTTGTGAATTCGGGCCTATATGTTGTTAGGTAGAGCAAATAGCCATTGGCCCGAATTCACAAAGCAAGGTTTGAGCTCAGACCAAGGTTTGAGCTCAAACCTCCTTTTGTTTCGCCAAACCTCCTTTTGTTCTTTACAAACCAGGTTTGTAAAAAACGCGTAAAACGCGTCATATGACGTACGAAAACCAAGGTTTGAGCTCAAACCTCCTTTGTGAATTCGGGCCATTATGTTTGTCCTACCTGGTATGCAATTTGCATTCTGACTATATGGAAATATTTATAACAGGTGAATGAAATAATTTGTACATGGCACTTAAAGTAATGCAAGCGACTTGCTCTCTATTGAATAACACAATACCTAGGAATTAACAGGTGAATGCAATAGTTGGTTACTATAAGCTAAAAAAAAGCATGCATAAATTTGAATAAATTTGTGAAGTGAGCTACATGCATTGTAAATTCAGGTAGTTATGACCATAAACAGTGATGTAGCTATTGGGGGTCACAGGGGACACTCGGGGCCCCCTTCCATCAATTATTGAAAAAGTATGGGGAAATGAAAGGAAAATCAATCTACTCATAAAGTATGCTACAACCCCCCCCCCCCCCCCCCCCCTCCACAGCAATCCCCTTGTCAATAACCAATATTTTCATATTGCTAGTGCCCCTTCAGATTCTGGACCCTTGCTACACCAATTACCCTAAAGCGACCCATCAAAGCAACAACTAATGCATGCAACCCGACTTCTATTTAAATACAATACCCTTACATAACAGGTGAATGATAACTAGGCTCGTTAGAAAAATATGCATAAATTTGAATAAATTAGTGGCCTGGTGAATTAACTGAAGGTGGATCCAAGGGGGGTCAGGGGTTCAACGCTCTAGACAATCCCCCCTTTTTTGCTTTTCAGTAGTTATATAGTGGTATCCTCCCCCTTTTGGACAAAATCCTGGATATGCCACTGTCCTCAAGATTGATGGAGGCTCACTGACAAAGCAGCGACTAATTTATGCAAATGCTTCTCACATCTTCATTACACAATCACTTGTATAAAACAGGTGAATGAAATAGTTGTTAACTGGGCTTCTTAGGGATATACGCATAAATTTAAATAAATTTGTAGCCTGATGTATAATAACTGATAGCGGATCCGAGGGGGGTCAGGGGTTCAATGCTCCAGATAATCCCCCCTTTTTTGCTTGTCAGTAGTTAATAATGGTATCCTCCCCCTTTTGAACAAAATCCTGGATATGCCACTGTTCTTAATTGAGATTGCTGGAGGCCCACTGACAAAGCAGCGACTAATGTATGCAAATGCATTCTGACATCTCCATTACACAATCACTTGTATTAAACAGGTGAATGAAATAGTTGACATGGGTAGAAACATAGATAATAGGCCATTTAGGTAATAATGTAACCAAATTTATACTTTATGCTTCAATACAAATTATTTCGATCACCTGCTACAAATAATTGTATTTCAATAGTCAGTATGCAAATTACAGAGCAACAACTAATGTACATTGTATGCAACATAGCTGACTCCTATTAAAATACAATCCCTTACATAACAGGTGAATGAAATAGTTGTTATCTAGGCTTTTAAGGGAAATGTGCATAAATTTGAATTAATCTGCAGCCTGGTGTATAATAACTGAAGGCGGATCCAAGGAGGGTCAGGGGTTCAATGCTCCAGACAATCCCCCTTTTTTGCTTGTCAGTAGTTAATAATGGTATCCTCCCCCTTTTGAACAAAATCCTGGATATGCCACTGTTCTTAATTGAGATTGCTGGAGGCCCACTGACAAAGCAGCGACTAATGTATGCAAATGCATTCTGACATCTCCATTACACAATCACTTGTATTAAACAGGTAAATGAAATAGTTGCCATGGGTAGAAACATAAATAAAAGGCCATTTAGGTAATGTAACCAAATTTATTCTAAGTGCCTCAATTCAAATTATTTCGATCACCTGTTACAAATAATTGTATTTCAATAGTCACTATGCAAATTGCAGAGCAACAACTAATGTACATTGTATGCAACATAGCTGACTTCTATTAAAATACAATCCCTTACATAACAGGTGAATGAAATAGTTTTTAACTAGGCTTTTTAGAGAAATACGCATAAATTTGAATACATTTTTGACCTGGCGTATCATTGAAGGTGGATCCAAGGGGGGTCAGGGGTTCCACGCTCCAGACAATCCCCCCATTTTTACTGGTCAGCAGATAATTAATGGTGTCCTCCCCCTTTTCGACAAAATCCTGGATATGCCATTGTTCTTGAAATTGCTGGAGGCTCACTGACAAAGCAACAACTAATGTATGCAAATGCAATTCTGACAAATATCTTCATTATTTGTATAAAACAGGTGAATGAAATAGTTGATCTGGCGTATCATTGAAGGGGATTCCAAGGGGGTCAGGGATTCAACGTTCCAGGCCATACCCCCCCCCCTTTTTTTTTTTGCTCGTCAAAAATGGATTCCTCCCCCTTTTGGACGAAATCCTGGATATGCCACTGTCCTTGAGATTGCTGGAGGCTCACTGACAAAGCAGCGACTAATATATGCAAATGCATTCCGACATCTCCATTATATAATCATGACAGGTGGATGAAATAGTTTGCCATGAATAGAAACAGATAAAAGAACAATACTAGGTTATTCAAACTATATGCATACTTCTTGTTAAAGAATCTACATGTATTGATGATCCAAATGCTTGTAAGAATAGGCCATTTTCGTATTGTGATCAAATGCAATGCACAAATCTTTGTAAAGTGCTTTGTTATAAACTATTTAATTCACCTGTTACAAATAATTGTATTTCAATACTCAGAATGCAAATTGCATATTTTACATATTGTTAGATAGGGCAAGCCATAATGTTTGTCCTACCAAGCAACAACTAATGTATGCAAGGTGCATTCCGACTATTGAAATATAATTATTCATTGCAGGTGAATGAAATATTTGTATTTGACGCTTTACAAAGATCTATGCATAAATTTGGTTACATTACAAAAATGCCTTCGGAACAATACCAGTGTATTCAAATTATATGCATACTTCTTGAACAAAAATTTCAATCGATCCAAAAGCTTGTAAGATTTGCCTGACATTGCAACAAACAATGTTCAATGTAGAACTCATCCCTATAACTGCTTTTATTTAGAACAGGTGAATCAAATAATTCACTGTTAAGGGTTCTTAGAAGAAACGTGCATAAATTTGAATGCATTATTATTTTAAAATAAGTCCGTTGTGAAAATTATTGTCTTTTGATTCAGCATACTAAAGAAATACATGTACTAGTCTGCAGGCACAAGCCTTCCTTATTCACCATCCAGAATGTTTTTAATAAACTGAGTTATATGCCCTGAACTCCAACAGAGTTCATGATGCTTCAAAATATACCAAAGTAGAGGGCTAAAGTTAATAGAAATTGTATTGACAGTGACAAAAGACAAACCAAGTCTGCAGAATAGCACCTATTTCGTCAAGAATAACTCAATAAATTTAAAAATGAGAAATAACTTCGCAAAAAACAATGAGGTTCCATCTTTTAAACAATTCATTTAATTTTATTCAATTTATTCAATTCAGAAAATAACATGAGTATATACAAATGTGATTATTATTTTATAATAAAGCATATAAATCAATTACAGACATGTAGGTAGTACATATTTATCAGTATTATAGCATTATATACATTTTCTTTGGCATATTATACCCTAAATAAAATATCAACAATTACTTGTAATATGAATTTTTAACTTACACATCACATATTATATGCAGTTAATAGAAATAAAGTATAGATTTCCTTTTTTTCCTTCATTCAATATTGTAATAGAAGGCCACATCAGTATGAAGAAAGGGTATTTAAGCTGTACATGGATTATATTGAATCATATCCCATTGTAATGTACAGTAAAATTCTCTAAATATAATAATAGAGAAAACATCGATTGTCAAATTCAAAATGGTAAGAAATTACAGCCTGTATTTTACATGAAATACACAGAAAAGGAACGAGTGTATACTCGTAGTAAATATTGAGGCAACAATGGAATGTATGGTTTAAAGTTCTATCCAAAGGGCTAGTTTGAAGCAACTGGGGATTTAAAGTGCCTATCCCTCAAATATTTATTTGCTAATAATGAATATTTTGCTATTCTCTAAGTGAAATTTTAATCATGACTTTTTACAACATTTGGACCCTTTTACAACTTTTTGAGATTTTTACTGTGCAAAACCATGCAACGCCCTTTAAGCTCGACTTACAGTAAAAAGTGTAAGTGCATGTAATTGGTTTGAACCCAGGACCTTTTGGTTCCAAGACCACAGCTCTAACCACAGAGCCATATAAAACGTGCCAGCCCCTATGGGTTTACAGAAGACAAATACTATACATACAATGAATCAAATAGATGAGAGTTGAATACTTGCTTCGTTTCAAAGATAACTGAAAACAAATAAAGAAATGAAACATTGGCAAGATGCTTTTTATACTATTAACAGATGATTGCAACTATTGCATAGAATTAACAAGACTGATTTGTGCTACATAGTGATTGCATAAAATTGATTAAAAGTTACATGTACTACAACAAAAACAGCAACAAGAAAACCACAAAAAGAATGAGAACTTGAGTGGCATTGAAAGCAATATCTTTGCCCTGAAATATAAGGTCCTGATACAAGAAATTACACAACTTTGGTGTTAATTTCAGTTTTAAAAAATTAAAATAAAATCTGAAGGAGATTAAGATTGCAAATTTGAATTGTTATTGAAACTACAAATGAAATACAATGTTACCACAACAATGCATTCACAAAACAGAATTTGAAATAGCCTAACAGTAGAACGACCAGCAACGACATTCCATTTGATTATCAATCTCCAATTTAGATTTCGACTTCTTGCATATGCAGGTGTATCAAAAGAGTAGGAGTTTGTAAGCATGACCAAATTAACTTGTTTGCTTGAAAGTTTCTACCAATGAGGTACAAGTTTGAAAGCCCCAAATAAATTTCATGACCAGCAACCTCCCTTGCAAGTATCTTCTTAATACAATGCAGAAAGTTTTGACATTAATTTGAGAGATGTCATGAGTTAGGTCACATAACAAAATTATCTAAGATTTTTAGTCCATGTAGATATGGTGTTTCTCTTCAAGGGCCCAATGTTATTAGACTCTGGAATATCACATGGTGGAAGTCTGGACGGACTTTTGAATATGAGAAACAAACACTGCTACTTGGTATTTGCGTTTTGCTCATATTGTGTTTATACATGGATACCCAACTAACATATACTATGCATAGCTTTGATGACCAAAGATTATTATGGTGAAAAGTTCTTTACCAACACTGGTTCGTAATATTATAACCTCTCCTCAATCTCAGTACATTCATTGCTAGAAAAAGAGAACTATTCTGCATTTCATTTATCTTTCAGAATCTTTCAAAATAATTAATATGAGTCAGTTTGAATACAATAGTGCAAAATTGTAGTATAGCCAATATGAAAAATCTCATGTAATAAAATGCATGTACATAAAAAGATCAGATAGAAGGCATATAATTGAATAAATGTCTAATAAAATACATAGCACATTGATATTCAAAATATACATATTTTGAAAACAATTTCATGAGAGCAATTTATTTAAAAAATGGAATATAACCACTTTTTGGCATAGAATAAAATAATATGAAAAGGCACACATGAGTTGCAAGAAAATTTTACGATATCTCCTAAGGAATGCACTTGATATTTAAAGATGAGTTTCCATGTACACCAAATAAAAAGGATAAACATATCAAGTAAAATGTCAAAATCAATAGTTATCACATTTTACATAAATTCATTTAATAGCACAGAGAGTATAACACAAGCATTCCAACACCTCATTAAAAATGTGCGCACATCATAAAAGACAGTACCTTCAGATCCCAAACTGCATCTTGAACTGTTACAACCCTACAATGTGTAAGGAGTTTACAAAAGGGTGGATCCACAATTAACAGCACCCCCTCCAGCAAGTCGCGACAGGCCAATTTTTCAGCTCGTGGGTTCGACATCTTTCAACTAGTGCAGTGCACCAAATGCGAAAGACGCCAACCAATTACCAAAGTGGTCTGAATTGTGTCAATTCATTCCATATGAGATTGATAGTTCTGGGCCTTGTCTTACAAAAAGTTGAGATTGATCGCAAGTTTGCAGTCTCCTATCTCTTATGTACATATTTGCGATTTATATCAACTTTATGTAAGACAGCGACCTGATATCAATGCACATTTTCATATTGAATTTGGACGTCAAAACTCACTCATCAATTCTCGCTACCCCAAATAGCGATTCTGCCGAGATCCGGGGAAAATCCTGAAAACGCGCATTGCATTATGGGATAGCTTTTCGACATTACAGCTTCCTGTGCAGGCGTTCGTGATCACAACCCTCTCTTTCACGGTAGAGTTTAACGGCCTTTTGTGCTAAAGTCACTAATTCTGCCCGAAGCTTTCCATTGCATATTATAATCTGTACAAATTACACTGATTGGCATCGATTTTAGCGTGCGTGAAAACTCTGCACAGCGAACAAAGGCGCTAGCACCAGCGGGATGGGACTCTATACCGGAAGTTGTAGTGACGACCCGAGAGAGTGAAAATTACCTCGTCTCGCGAATTTCGAGATTTTCGTACCTATTTAGGGTAGCGAGAATTGATTTCAACTGAAAATTTGGCCAGATTTTTGACAAAAATAAATACAAATTGTCATTAAGGGCCAAAAAGTGAACAAAATGACCATGTTGCTGTTGATGGGGATCAGTTTGACTACTTTTTCTAGCATCAGGTCAAATTTTACATAAGATAGGGCCTTTGGTCCTGAAAAGCACTATATAAGAACTAGCTATTATCATTATCCATTCTCCTTTGCTGATAACAATGATTGGAAAAAATTTCCCTTGACCAAAAGTGACCATAAGAAGAACAGGTAGGTCCACAGACTTATTATCAATTCAGAGGAATGGTTTGGGATGGTTAATGACCTTCTTATGCATGGGCGTGACCTCGACCTTGTCTTGGATGCGGATGATGGTGGCATGGGTAAGGGGCACAACCCCGAGTTGAATATTCAAAGGAGAAACATAAATGTTGCCAATTTGCAGAACAGGTAGGTCCACAGACTTATCATTAATTCAGAGAAATGGTTTAGGATGGTTGATGACCTTCTTATGCATGGGCGTCACCTCCACCTTGTCTTGGATGCGGATGATGGTGGCATGGGTAAGGGGCACACCCCAAGTTGAATATTCAAAGGAGAAACATAAATGTTGCCAATTTGAAGAGCAGGTAGGTCCACAGACTTATTATTAATTCAGAGGAATGGTTTGGGATGGTTGATGACCTTCTTATGCATGGGTGTCACCTCCACCTTGTCCTGGATGCGGATGATGCTGGCTTGAGTAAGGGGCACACCCCAGAGTTGGTTAATCAGCAAAGGAGAAACATAAATGTTACAAATTAGAAGAACAGGTAGGTCCACAGACTTATCATTAATTCAGAGAAATGGTTTAGGATGGTTGATGACCTTCTTATGCATAGGCGTGACCTCCACCTTGTCTTGGATGCGTATGATGGTGGCGTGGGTGAGGGGCACGCCCCTGGGTTGGTTATTGAGGGCCTCGGGCACGTTGCACTGGGACCGGGCCATGGTCGACATCTTGGACTCCTTGCGGTTGAAATGATGGGCAAACATGGCACCTGGGAGGATGGATGGACAGAGAATTCACACACAAATTAGAATCATTTGATGAGTACATGTGGAGGATTTAAACTTAGCACATGCACAAAAGAAGCACTGTGAATGCATATCGTTGCTAAATCAGTCTTGTTGTTTTTTTTTTAATTTTTTTTCTTAACAATCACCTTTAAGCAGTAACACATACTCACTCAACTCTAGTATCATAATAATTGTGTGTGCATAAGAATCAGGATTTTATTAGGAAAACATGGCAATTTAAAGGGTATATTTTCTTAAATGACATGTTTGACCAATCAAATTCGAGGAATTCCATTTTACATTTCTCTGTAGAAGATAAAATTAAAGTAATTACTTACTTGAACAAAACTTTACTTTGTGTATTAAAGTCTAAATATTTACTGATAAAATCAGCAGTACCGGTACTTTTTTTACCGTTAAAATTTATTTGAATCTTAAAAATGTGATGATTTTTGTTATTACTGCTTAAAGAAATACTATATTAAACCCCAAAATCAAGGCAAAAAAAAATATATATTCCTTTACAATCACAACTGAGAAATGCATATGTAAATGATTACACCCACAAGTATGAAACACAAGAATGAATCGTTTGTGCAGAGTACGCTTGCAGACTGAGTGCAGAAATATAATAATTAGCTCACTGAATCTTAAGATGAAGAACAAAAGGTACACTGTCACATCAATTACTATAACTATTTGATAATTCACTCATTTCTAACTAATTGCTTTTTTGACAAATCAACAATTTGTTCAGCTGCAAGAATACATCCAGCATAATAATTTGCGACAGAAGACAAAATATGCAAAGAAGATATCCTCTGAAATGAAAAATATTGCCATCATTCAAAAAGACACAAATATTAATCTATTTGTTTTCTATTGAATTAGCATCACCACAACACACCACACAATAGACATGGCAAAGTATGTAAAAAAAATTAAAAAAAAGGTAAAGAAAAGATGGCTGTAATTTCCTCGTTAGCCCAGAGAACCTGCAACTAGAGAAAGTGAAAGAAATTGAGGAAACTACATCCAAACACTGTATAATTCCTTTATTAGTCTTTATCAGCAACAACAAAACATTCACAACTTCCTCTTTCTCAATCTTTTATTAACTATGTTATGTAATATCAAAAGTTTTTATCATGAATGTCTTTTATTGTTTCTTATATAAAAACAATTGTAGAAAAATTCTAGTCACACTAGTAAGACTGACCACAGACTGAACAAAAGATTACATTATTCAGAAAAGCTAAAAGAAAGTCAGGTTGGATTCGGTTTGGCGGTGTGACTCAAGTATCATTAGTAACTCATTTAATTTCGTCTTTTAAACTCTACTGGATTAAATCTCAAATCTGCTTTCATTTCAAATATTTGAAATGAAAGAACTCAACTCAATCACAACTTTCTACAAAATAGCTATAGGGAGAGAATACTGTTCACCAAGGTTTGATGTTTGAAAGGAGCATGAAAATTAAAAATTAAATGTTAGAGGAAGCATCAGCCCAGGAGAAAAAGAAGATCAATTCAATCATGAAACACAGGCATGATGATCGAAGGAGTATAACTATTCTGCAATGAAGAAATGACGAATTAGATTGTTATAGTTAATGAGATGAAAGCATATTATTCAAATAAGAGCACATCATGCATTTGATTTCCCATGAGCCTATACAGGGTGAAAACTAGTGACATGCATTGCTTTTAATTGCAAAGGCGAAAAGTATTTCAATCTCATGCACAAACAAGTTTCCCTTGATGCAGAGTAAAGCTGGTTTTTTCTTTCTCAAATGCAACAAAAGCAAATGCACAGCAACATAATGATTCAGATTAAGAGGCACCAGTATCAAATTGGTTGAGTGTGGTAAGGTTATGGTTTATGGTGATGGGTATAGTTACACATGCAAGTGAGATGAGTGTGTTTAGATCTGCAAATTACCATCAAGTGCAAAAAAAAACAAGTTTGATTTGTCTCTTTGAAGTCAGAACGGCGTTTAACTCATATCATTTTGTACATAGTTAATCCCCTTCTGCCTTCCAAAAGACAATTCAATGAGCATGTTATATGAGGAAGGATGTTTCAGAATTTTAATCCATGTCTGCATGGTGGATTCTGGCTAAATGTGCAAGATTAATAAAAGCTGCCACAGGTACACTGCAAAACAGGAATTAAATTTTCTTTAAAAAAAAAGCATTTGTGATCGGTACCCATGCGTGCATGTTGATTTTTGCGTCGGGTCAAAGGTCAGTGTTTGCTTTAGGGAGGTGTCGAGAGCATGAGGCGGTGGTGCTGTGAGCTGATATGCATCCAGGCATCCTGGCGGGTCCTGGGCTTGGCCTTGGGGCTCCTCTTGGTGGGTAGCTTGATGCTGTCTGCAGATTCTGAATCGTCACAAGATGGATTGAAGGGTTGGCAAAGGATCGACAGTGCTTCAAAATATTAAACAACTTACTATCTTGAGGGACTTGCAGGAGCTGTGTGCCTTTAATAATTTGTGGAATAAATAAACCTTCAAACTTTAAGATTTTCATTTCTACTGACAGCTTCAGTTTTTTATAAATTACCATATTTGTAAAAATTAAAAAATAAATCAAATAAAAATCAATTTTTAGTATAACTTTAGGCAGGGATAAGACAGAGAGATTCCCCAAAAGGAGGAAGATTAACTGGGGGTCCGGGGCAACGTTCCTGACAGGGCTAATTACATGGTTAGGGTTAGCAAAAATGGATTTTCTTTGGGTTTTTTTTTTTCCCTTTTTTTTCAAAGATCTTGAAACCTCAAAATCGGCAGAAATTTGCCACTCGGCAGAGGAATCTCATCCCTGTTTAGACCTCCTTTGTGACAAAAATTCTGATCTTAAATTCTAAGTTTAAACAATTGTTTCAGGTCCATGCACATCCGATACATTTCATGAATATACTACACAGTTCTTGATAATATAACATCTTTGAATATTCTTAAAATGACAACAAAGTTGTAACCAAATACCTTTTACAAAATCAATTTTCCTTAACCTACATGAATAACTAAAGGGAAATTTGAAAAAGGACATGCTTATTGGTGCATAAAATGTAGAAAATTGGGTGATCTTCTGCTCTAATACAGCGTTATTGGAAATAACTGATGTCACTACGTGGACATCAGTGCTTTTTTTAAAATTTACAATTGTCAGGTGGGCTAATACTACAATTTTTTTAAGTATGACCAAATTGTTACTCCTAAGAATAGAGACTACATGCACTTTATTAAAATAACGGATTAGTATATTGTGAAGACATCACTTGCTCTATTCTAGTTTGTAAGGATTGTGCATGGCATGCTCTAGGCTAGCTGCATGCTCCTATTTGGTATTCATCAATCTGGTAAAATGTGTATCAAGGGAGACGATATTTGCTCATTTTTAACAACAGGGGCCTAGTTTTATAATACCAAAGGGTCCTTGGAATAACTCTTTAAATGGCACCGACCACATATACCGTAATTAAGGTTGTATAAACCACCCTCGTGTATTAACCGCACCCCTCTTTTTTGCCCTTCATTTTTTTATTTTTATTTTTGCCGAGATTTTTTTTTTTGTGTGTAAGATCATTGATGTAAAATAAAAAACAGTAGGGGACCTAGGATAGAACCTTGTGGTACACCATGTAATAGAAGAAAAATTGGAGGAATTTATTCTAAACTACATATTGAGATCTATCAGAAAGATTTCTTTCAAACCAAGATGACAGACAAATTTGAGTGTTGTTCTAGTTTCCGATTGGTGAGTCAACACACCGATTACCGAACTGAGAGACATTGCCAGGCATAGCGCCAGGTGGAGGGGCATAAATCAAAACTTTATTATTACTTTTTTTTTTTTTTTTTTTTTGGTGTACCGTGTATAAGCCGCACCCCCGACTTTGAATTTTTTTCGGCGGCAAAAAGGTGCGGTTAATACACTGTTTTTAATTACGGTAATAATAATATGGATTTATATAGCGCTCAATACGGAATACCGTCTCTAAACACTTTACAGATATTATTACCCCGGTCATCGGATTCATTCACGCACAAAGTGCACCATCTCCACTCCCTGGGGAGTATTCCTACCATATGTTCACAGTGAGGGCATAGTAAATTACTAACACAACTGCTTCGTCATCCTTCATGCAAGTATGCAATAAACAATGTCAGGCTCATAACATGAACCAATATATTGTGCGCTGTGTTATAATTTTTTTTTGTAATTGGCACACATCATAACGTACATAATTCTAACAGACTGTACATACTTGAATAAAGATGCTTTGTGAGTGATTGTATAAAGGAAAAAAAAAACTCAAAATCAAATTAAATCATAAATAAAAGACAATGTAGTGAAAACATGAAGCAATTGTGCCTCTTGTGAAGTTGTAATAGTGAATAACAAAGAAATCAAATATACTACTTAAGTGATTCTAGAAATACCATGCAAAAACTAATAAATATTGTAAAGTGATCTTGCATACATGTACATTTAACTATGGAAATGCACATATTGTTAATAATGGGGACTTGATATGAAAATCTGGAATAGATACTTGTGATATATGTTCTTTATCTAAGAAATACACATCTATAAAATTAATGCATCAGACTAGTTCAACAATTATGTTTTATACCTCAATAGCAAGCTTAATATATTTTGTCAAATTCCAAAGACTTTAAAAAGTCTCTTCAGAGATTCTTACCAATGTTAAGGTAAAATGAATTTAATCCTGTTTATATTTTCTTTCATAACATTCTACTTAACATTATTTTTATATTTCATTTTATGCCCAACTTCACTGACTTCTGCAGGCCTCTTCATGGACTATTATTTATTTAAAAAATGAAATCAACAGTCCATGACATTTTAGGAAGGGGGCAAAGTTGTTTTGAATACTCACTGGCTGTCCTGACTGGCTTCTTCTTGCCCAGCTTGGGTTCCTTGGGCAACTCCACCTTCTGGGCCAGTGTCTTGGGTTGTCTGGACTTCTTGTTTGCAGCCTGTCCCTTGCCCTTGCGCTTCTTCTTGTCCCCATCCTCCTTGGAGTCTGGCAGCTCGCACAGGCCCTTGGCAGCAGCCCTGGCCAGCACGTCGGAGGCACTCATGGCCTCATCCTATGGGGTGGGCAGGTGTCAAGAGGGAATAAGAGACGTAGATTAGTCCATGGAAGTTACTATAAGTGCTCTCTATAGAATCAAACTGTATATATCATAAATAATGGTTGTATTTATATGTGAAGAAAAATATATGTAATATAATGTATGAATATATTGATTGTCTTTCTCTCTCCAGATATCTAGTTATCTTTATCTCTCTCTCTCTCTCTCTCCTTCCCTCCCCTCCCTCTCCCTCCCTTCCTCCCTCCATCCCCTCTCTCCCTTCATCTCTCTCTCTCTCTTTTCTTTCTCTTCATCCTCTTTCTCCCCCATCCCCTCTCTTTCTTTTCCTGCTTATTGATATGTTAGCTTTATACATGAACTGGTGCTGAAGGAGAGGCATTCATAAACAAGTGGGGCTAGTTTCTTGAAACCGTCATAAGTCTAAGTTTGTGGACATCCCATAGAAACATGTGTTAATTCTATAACATAGGTTTCAATGGGATGTCCAAGAAGTTAGACTTATGACGGTTTCGTTAACAACCCCCTGGTGACTGTCTGTAGGACAGCTTTAACATTGAGACTGTCTTCACATATATCTAAAAAGCTATATCTGTATATATTCCAGGGTCACTGACAAAACATTCTGTTATATAGTGTGTTCTACATGTACTAAAGAATAATACCAAACTGTGTTGTGCTTCAGTTCTCGGATATAAATGATACAATGAAACATGTTTATATCTCATGAGAATATATTGAATATTGGTACATCAAGATCTAATGTGTGCTGTTTTGTGATATATACACCTGTACATCCCTATCATGCAGTTGTGTGTTGTGTACAGAGAAGTTTTTCATAGTAGAATATATATTCTTGGTGTAATCATTAATAAAAGTGAAAAGAGACGATATATTTTCTTTGCAGTGCGAGATATATATATTGGTATATAATGTTTTGTGCTTTGGAACTGGGTGCTCCTGCCCGGCTCTGCGGGGCACAACTTACATCGGAAGGTTCAGGTGAGGCAAGGTTGATGGGAGATGCACAATCTCGCGATTTCTTCCGGAACGAGCGCAATATAATTAAGATTTCATTTTGTGTCATTCTCAATGGTTAATTACATGATTTGATTGTGAAAAATGAACATCTTGGGGGGGGGGAAGTCTTTCTAGTTATGCAAAACATGTTGAAAATTGTCGAGAGTAAAAACATTATTAAAAATGTTAAGATCAATCATATGCAAAACTGAATAAACTAAAACACCAGCAATGGATGGAAAATGATTTGCCTATTTATATTTCTAACTTTGACACCAACATTGTAAATTCAAAAAGAAAATATCAGTACCATTTTGTGATACGTTTACCATGTTCTTGAAAAGTAAGAATGGAAATTCTGTTTAAAATACTTGACATATCAGTTGCCTATCAAAACAAATCCTAAAACAAATATTAATTTCAAAGTAATCACAATGGAGGTCAAATTCCAAACTCCTTTCTATGACATAATGTGAATATCTATCAAGTAATACAGGTAACAATAGTATGATGGTGATAATCCTTGTAAGTTTCCCCTTTAAGTATATATATATATATATATATATATCATACATCATACAGGATTTAACCCTAATTAGCATTCAATTTCTTAATACAAGTTCTTAAACTATATTTAAGTTCCTACGTACAAATTGTATCATTTAAAAAGATGTCAAATATGTTGTCAAATTGAATGGAAGAAAATAAATGTTCATTAAAAAAAAATTAAAAAATATAAATTGCCTAATATCTCTCTTAAAGGGATACATCAGTTGAGAGCAAAGACAAATATAATTGCTGGATACATTCAGAGTAGGTCTTACCTCTCTGCTCAGGATAGCCACAAAGCATCCACCCATCACGTTTGAAGGCTCCATCCGGAGGAACTTGCCAGAGTTCTGCACCTCAAAGTCATGCGGTGTGAGGGGCAGGACCGGGGGCACGGGCCGGTAGGGGTTATTCTTGGTGCTCATCTTGCCGTTGGTGAACTCGGCAGACTTGGCGACCACGTTCTCGTTCTCTTCCTTCATGATGGAGGTGGTGGCGTAGACGACTGCTTGGACTCGGTAGACTGTGAACATAAAAATGTGAGAAAACAGTGATGTATTGTAGCTATTGCCTACATAATGAAGAAGCTGTCAGTCGGAACAAACTTGATTTAAAGACTATGAAATGACATGATCAGTGCATTTTTAAAATGTGAAAGTTAAGTACTTTATCTAAACTTGTTCAAACATAAATTGTCTGAAAGTGCAATCCCGATGTTAAAACACACAAAAATCATAAAATGCTGCAACAAGTCATTCAAGAGAAGATACTGTTGAGAACCAAAGAAGGTTTTGATTCATATTCCTCAATCTTTGTTTAACGTCCTTCTGGTTCTCAAAAGACATTTTTCCTTCCTTCTTTCTTTACTTTCTGTCTTTCCTACTATCTTTAATTTGTTTGTTTGTTTCTTTTGTTTCTGTTTACTGTAAAACCCTAAAACTATATTTTTTAAAAAAATTGTATGTTACTTACATTTCAACGCATGTTTCAAGAGGTCCATGTGCTCCAGAGCTAGTTCATCTATCCTGTCCAGGTCTTGTCCTTCTTGAGATAGTTCTCTCAGAATACTTGGATCTAGAGGTAATACAAATAAAGAACAATTCAAATTAAAGGCATCTAAAAAAAAATACATAATAGCTTAACCCATTGACTACTGGAACCAGGTGGCCCTAGTATTAAGCCTATGGCAATGAATGAATAAAGTAGTCAACATGTTAACTAAAGGATTAAAAATACTACCTTAGAGCACAATTATACTCATTAGATCAGTTTGTAATAATCATATGATTTATCTTCCCACAATTTCAGTAACATCACCTGCATGAGACTGTCAACCTAGCCAGTTTTCTCACAAGTATACTCGTTCTATCACTCTAACTCACCAACCAAGACTTTTGAAGATAAAAATAAATAGCATGATCTGTTCAATTGCCATGTTTCTATGGTACATGTCACTTACATCCTTCCTTCCAGTAATACAATACAGTTTGCACATGTTTCACCCACACCAAATCCATCTTTTGCTGTATGTTTGTACTTTTCAACACTGTTACACCTTTAATCAAATTTTAATAATCATCATTTAGCCTATATTGTTGGTAATACATCTTTATAAATAATGTTTCTACATGTTCTACATGGGTTTAAGAGTTTCTTTAGTTTCTCTGTCTTTTTCTTCCTTTCTCCTTAGTTTTCTTCTTTGGAGATACACTGGTACGCTGGCTGGTTTGCCAGTGCCTTACAAGAATTTTACATTAACTCATAGCTTAAACTCGGTCTTCAATGTTGGAAACCACTGTTATTTTATATCATATCATGACATTACAGTTTATCAGACTTCTTATATTTAAAAAAATCATTATGTTGTGTCATCACACTCGAGTGTACTTTCTGACGTGTGAGAAAATATGAATATCAAGGAGAACTTAGGCAGGACCACAACAGACTGTTCAATACTTCCGATTTCTTATGTGTCAGATGCGCTCTTAATATCGCTACAATATCTCCACCTGCCTCAGTCTACATCAAAATCTTGTTCTGAAGTGCGAATTGATTCAAGGATGATTGTTTGTGTCTTTTTCCACCTCATTTATAATCATTTATTTATCAATGAAGAATCAGGAAGTTCCTTGGAGATTGCTGCTGCCACCACAGCTCTTTTCATTTGGTGTCATAACAACTATAGATTTGTTTAAGCAGTTCTAAGAAACTGTATTTCACCTTATTCCTTTCATATATGGTGTCATAACAAACTTCCTTTTTTTCCTTCTTACTGCATACTGCACCAATTCCATCATTTTTGTTCTACTTTCGAGAACAATTTAACAAGGCTTTTACAATTGTTGATGTTCGAAAATTGATATATTGTCAATTGTATGTATACATACATACTAGGAATATACCCCCCCCCCTTTTATTGTTTCTTTGTTAACCTGTTGCTTCCAACCTGCTTCCAGGAGGCAATGGTTTAGATGTGGCTTCAACTGACTTCGCATGAAATAACTTTCACCTTGCAGGTAACCGTTTCTGTTCCAGGTGGAAAATGCATGCTTATTTGGGATGAGACAGAGAAATTCCTCAAAAGGAGGAAGATTAAATGGGGGTTAAAGGGAGCTGTGCCCCCTTTGCCCCCTTTCCCCCCTTTCTGCAGAAAACTTTAGAATGTATTTACGTTTTCCTTACATTTAAATTCTAAATTTGAGAAATATCTGTTACCTCATCTTGCTTAAAGGGACTCTATAACATTGTTCAGATGAGAGATTAATGCTGCTAAGGTAGTGAGGTCAATCAATGCTAGATGTACAATTAATGATAATCTGAAAGTTTGTTAGTTTTTTTTACCAGTCTTGAAATCGGCAGAATTCCGCTGATCGGCGGAGGAATCTCATCTCTGTTATTAATTAGGCAAAGCATATTGTAGAACTTGTTTTCAGGGACTCGACTTGCCTCCCACAACATAAAGATTGAAAGAGGGACATAAAGATTGAAAGAGGGACATAAAGATTGAAAGAGGGACATAAAGATTAAAAGAGGGACATATATATATCCATACCTTCTCCTTCCTGTAAGATGTACTCCACAGGGTTGATGATTCCTGACCTTGAATCCCTTGGGGTTACCATCATCACCTTGACTCCTTTATACTTTTTGTCCTCGGGCTGCACTAATAGAAAGTCCTCCCGGATGAATTTCACATCTAAGGAGGTCATTGAGTCAAGGTCAAATAAAGAAGAATTCCAAAAAGCATTTATGTTGAACCTAAAATGGTCCCCTTATCCAGCAAATATATAAAAAATTAAAAAAAACTGATTTGATCAATGTACAATTAAAGTAGTAAAACCTCAACATATAAATATTTAAAACTACTGTCAGGAAACTTAATCAATTTATTTGATTTTTCTCCTAAACAAAATTGTTTCAATGATTGAATTCAATATCAATAGATTTATCACACTAGCATTGTGTCATGATTTCCAGGAACTTATATTTTTCTTTGCTTCATATGAATTTAGCCCCCCCCCCCCCCCAAAAAAAAAAAAAAAAAAAAAATAATAATAAATAAATAAATAAATAAATAAAAAGAATAATTTAAAAAAAACTAGATGGAACTTCGACTGCGCGCAGTCGAAAATGATGCCTCCGTCATAGAGCAATTTTACAAACCAAAACAGAAGAAATTTTTCAAATTCAAGTTCAATTGTAATCCATTAACAGGTTTTCAGAATATTGTGATTACAAGCTATTTTTGCATACATAATGAGCCCATGACCTTTGACCTTATGAACCAAGAATCTACTCAGTTCATTGGCTCTGCAAGAAACATACATGACCTAAGTTGGCAGGAATCCATCAATCGGTTCTTGAGATAACGCGATCACGAGCTGTTTTTGCATACATAATGTGCCCTGTGATCTTTGAACTTTGACCTTGTGACCCCTACATCTAATCAGTTCATCGGCTCTGCAAGTAACATACATGACCTAAGTTTGGCAGCAATCCATCAATCGGTTCTTCAGATAACGCGATCACAAGCTCGTTTTGCATACATAATGAGCCCTGTGGCCTTTGACCTTTGACCTCGTGACCTCAAAATCTAATCAGTTTTTTGGCTTTGCAAGTAACATACATGACCTAAGTTTGGCAGCAATCCATCAATCGGTTCTTCAGATAATGCGATCACGAGCTCGTTTTGCATACATAATGAGCCCTGTGACCTTTGACCTTTGACCTCGTGACCCCAAAATCTAATCAGTTCATCGGCTCTACAAGATACATACATGACCAAAGTTTGGCAGGAATCCATCAACCAGTTCTTCAGATAACGCGATCACGAGCTCGTTTTGCATACATAATGAGCCCTGTGACCTTTGACCTTTGACCTCGTAACCCCAAAATCTAATCAGTTCATCGGCTCTACAAGATACATACATGACCAAAGTTTGGCAGGAATCCATCAACCAGTTCTTCAGATAACGCGATCACGAGAACGGGACGTACGTACGTACAGACGTACGTACGTACGTACGTACGTACGGACGTACGGACGGACGGACAACCCGAAAACATAATGCCTCCGGCTACTTCGTAACGGAGGCATAAAAAAAAAAATCTGGTACACATAGAGCTTGCATTAATCCATGGCCATTAAGTTCTAAGCCTGAACACCAATGGAGGAATGTTTTCAATAAAACCTTCAATAAATATATTTCAGTCTTTCATAGTACTCCTCAAATCACATGAAAATATCACTGTCAGGTCATATTCAAGGATACTGTGAATGCGTAGCTTTCCCATCCTGGCTTCTAGCATCTCCAGATGCTCATCATCTTTGATACCGAATGCATAGATGGTAGTGTTGTCCTGATTGGTCAGTGTTGCTAAGTGTGCCGTGGTCCAGCCATTCCCAACGTTCGTATGAATGATGTCATCACCTTCATTCAGCATGGCTTTCACCGAATGGGGTCCCAAGCAGCATGTTTTATCCTGTAACAGAAATATTAAATACAGATGACATTATTAGGATCATTAATTCAAATTCCTGCACATTGAATGCTCCTTCTCTCCTCATTAAATGCAAAAATATGGCTTCGAAATGAAATTTGATTCCTGAAATAAAAGAAACATCACATTCACTACAGAACTGGCCAATGTAATTCATGTAACAACAGAAAGTAATTCTCAGATACAAATGTTTGTAAACTAATATAGTTTTGATTTAAATTCAATTTCTTTATAAACTTTGTAAACTTTTGCAGCCACATCCAAATGAACAATGTTTTGCAGTCGTTCTTTCAAACAATTTTTATATACTTGAACAGTTCACATTTTGTTATTAAATGAACTTGAATATTTACTACAGTCATAAATTTTTTTTAGCATATAAATGACTGATATCGATTGGGACATCTGCAGCTAGAGTAAGGATTTCATTCAATCTTTTTTATTCCATGACAACTCCACTAAACTCGACACATTAGTAGAACTAATCCACACCTCCACCCAGCGTCTCTTCATTTCACACAATAGCAAAGCTATACAGACAGCAAATGTTTCATATCCTTCCTTCCTTCCCTAACAGAGTATTGATTGGCTGCACATAATATACAGTGGGGCAGGTGGGACAGACCAAATAAACACCTCCACTTCCTAGAGGGTAATCTAAAAGCATGATCATGGTCTTTGCGGTATGGGTACATGCAGAGCCACCTATACCCAGAGTTTGGCCAACTTGGTTTCACTAGGTCACAACATGGTGTTTATTCTCTTGTTTTGTGCTTTCCCAACAAAGCAGTAGTCGCCATATTGTGTCCAACTCGAACCTGGTTGGCCAAAATCTGTGTAAAGATGGCTCTGGGTACAAGTACAATAGGCTATTTTTGTAATGTAACCAAATCTATGCATACGCCTTTGTGATGTGCCTCGATAAAAATAATTTTCATTCACCTGTAAAGAGTTAATGTATCTCAATATTTGGATTTCAAATTGCAAACATAAGTTGTTGCTAGGTAGGACAAACTATATGGCTCACCCTACCTAACAACACATAATATATACAATTTGCATTCTAACGATTAAAATACAATTATTTGTGACATGTAAATGATAAAATTGTATCGAGGCACTAAGTATAACTTTGGTTACATTATGAAAATGGCCTTTAAGGGCAATGTGCTTTCACAAACTGTTACAGGATAATCAATGTGTGTCTGGTGATATCGGTTATTCCATTCCTTTTCAAAGTGATCAGATAAAATAACCTTACCCCGTGAAACATCAGGAAATAAGAATGAAACATTCTCAAGTAAATTTGAAGGATGTAGACCTCAATCACATATTCAATACATGCAGAAAGGCTACATATCCTTTGGATATATTCTCTTGAAATAATACATTACTGCCAGTAAATAACATATCGCCTTAATGTCAACAGGACAGTCAAACTTGCTTCAGCGATCACCTGTATAGAAAGACCACTTGTTTATAAAGACCGGTCTTTGTTTAGCCTGAAAAAAATAGTTTCTCATTGCAACACCTACCAAAGGAACCTGTACATAATGACCACCTGCCTATAAAGACTAATTTTTTCTTGTCTCCCTTGAGCGGTTCTTATTTGAAGGTTTCACTGTACACTATTTTTACATCTACTGTAGATGACACAAAGTGCAGGCTGTATGTAAAAAAATAAATCAGTAAGCCACTGGGCTGCAAGTCAGTAAAATACACCAAGACCTCTGTGGAAAGTGCTTTATAAGCACTGTTTTATTATTGTTATTATTTATTATTATTATTATTATTATTATTATTATTATTATATCACTTGATCGATAATGTATGAATTTCTATGAGAATTCAGTACAAACAAAATAAACCCTGAGGAGAAATCTTCTACATTGTATTCCTCAATAATATATGTGAATTTGATTCAGTAAAGGTGATACAGCAGAATGAAACCATCTTTGGAGAAACTTGTCTTCCCCAATAATACAGTTGTTGCAGCAAAAAGTATTGTGAAATCTGAAGTGTACATGTATCAAGACCGGCCACAGGCACATGGACAAAATGTAAATGATTAGAAGTTCTCTTTATATATGATTAATCATATTTGATAAAAACAACATAGGAACTTCTTGGAATTTTTCATCCAAAGACAAATCTAAAGAAATTGTGCCAGATGCTCACCTGTAGAATAAGTTTGGCTGACCTCACCAGCTCACTTTCTTGTATCTCTTCTCTCGCCGAGGCAGGGAACATGAGTACATTGGCGCAGTGGTGATCAATTACAAAGGAATGATGTTCTACCATTCTGTCTACGGAGCTCACCAGTCTAAACCCTTCTTCTTGCAGCTCCTCTACTGCATCTTGAACACTGCAAACAAAAAAGGAAGAGGAAAAAAAAAAACATTAGAATTACACCAAGTTTATCACTCAGCACTCAAATAAGCCTTATCAGTAACATAAACAACATTATTTCTATTTTATCATAATAAGCATTACTTTATCTATTCTTTTCAAAAGCCACAGAGTGTTTTTTTTTAAGTGAGGAGGGGGGGTCAAGCATGTGAAAGAACATATCATTTTACTGCTATGGCGTAGCGTTGTACATGTCTACTCAACAAAAAAGGAAGGGGCTACAGATCCCCCCTCCCCCTACGGTTCCGCGACCCCTGCATATCTAAAATCCACTCAGAGCTTTAGCTTCATCATGACTGTGCTTTAACAAAGCATTTACTAATAGGGGAATCTTTTATATTTCACTATAGAATAGAGTATTCTGAATAATGAACCTTAGTTCAATGATTTGAGATGGGTCAAGGATATCGACTTCCATTTAATCACAATTGTGCTTAAACGGCATAAATATAAGGGCTATCAGCTCCAAAGATCTATAATTACACATGTTGATGAATGGCTTCATGAAGGTTGTACTCTGTTTGTAACTTGTTGGATCAAATAAATAATTCATAGACAGGTATTTCTGATTCAGTGGAAACAGCGCTTCTGTTATTTACTGATGTCTGGAGGTCAATATTCATCTTTTTTTTAATACTGGATAACGTACATGTACGTGTATTGATTGATTTTTTTAAATGATGTCATATGCTGTATCAGATCAACTGCATTTATGCTGTATGCTTCAGAGCGGTTTCAAAACCAGACATTTGATTTTAAAGGAATCTTTCACAACTTCATTCCATTGAGCCATCGCAAAACCAATCTAAATTTAAATCTTACTCAAATTAACCAAACTTTGTCAGAATACATAAAAACACAGCTCCTGAATGAAATTATTGAACATCACTAGTCAAAGCTAAGGAAAATACAGTGAAACATGTCTTTAAAGACCACCCAAGGGAGACAAGAAAAGTGGTCTTTATAGGCATGTGGTCTTTGTAGACAGGTTCCTTTAGTGTATGTTTCAGTGATAAACCATTTTCATGGGAAACAAAAAAATGTGGTCTTTGTAGACAGGTGGTCACTAAAGCAGGTTTGACTGTACATGAAAACATAGCTCCTGATTAAAATTATTGAACATCGCTAGTCAAAGTGAAAGATAAATTATTTTTGTACCTTATACAAAGCTGATTGATCCAGGCAAAGCAGGGCAGCTGTGACCCGCACTTCTCCCGCTCCCTGACCGCTGCCGGTAGGAGGTTCTCTATGCTCGCAGCCTGGTACTTGATGCGATTCCTGGCCAGAGCGGCGTTCAGTTTGGTGTTGTACCTCAGCATGTCATCTTCCACCTCCTGAACGTACGGGATACAGGTCTCCGGCTGGCGTCGGGATCGCTTGGCGAACTTGCGGTAGACCATGTCGCACAGGATCACCATGATCATACTGTGATTCTCACCAGCCTAAAAACAACAATTATGTTAATTTTTAAAAATAACAACTGGGACCCGTTTCACAAAGCCTTTTATCAATGAAAAATGACAAAAAATCAGTGACAAATCTGCTGATAACCAATCAGCAGCAAGGATTTCACTAGCTTATAACAAAACCTGTCATTTGTCACTGATGACCACGTTTTGTGAAATGAGGCCCAGGTTGCAAAATGCTGCTGATCTCCAATACCAGTTAGAGGGATAAGAAAATAGTTCTCATAATTTATACGTTTTCAGGTATACTCTTTGTTAATTTCATAGCCATATTGTGCCTTTGCATTAAGAAACAGCACTGAATATCGTATTGGCCAAGCTATGACATTAAGAATTAAATGTTAATTACAGAAACATCATGCATAAAATTAGAAAACAATGAAGCTATCTACTTGAACAATTACCTTGCAAATAAGTTCCTTTTTTATCTACTGGTATGTTTGCTCATCTACATTTAAAAGAAGAGTATTAGAGAGAGAGAGGGTCTTATTGCATTTTCCCCCTACTGTAACACAATCTAAAGTCCGATTTAATTGGCCATAAGTGGGCTGGCAAATACGCTGCGCCATTATTCAATATTAATTTTCCAAAGTATGGTGCTTGAATTTCACCCCAGATTTAGATTACAGTTACAATTTCTGTGAGTGACGATAGTGTTTTTACTGTGTACAATAGGCTGCAATTTTTTCCTGACTTTTTTTCTGCAATCTATTTTGGATCTCAGTCTTTTATACTTACCGATGCATCATAGCTGTAAAACCCACTGTCCATGAGGACATCTTCCAAAAGAGCTTGATCTGAGAAAACAAAAGACAAAAACAAACAAAAATAATTCAACAGACGATTTATGCAATGTAATCAAATTGAATGCACAAATCTTTGTTAAGTGCCTCTTTTCAAATTGGTTTATTCACCTGTTATGAATAATTGTATTTCAATATTCAGAATGCGATTTTGGATACATTAATTGTTGCTAGGCTGGACAAACATTATGGCTTGTCCGACCTAACAACACGTAATGTATGCTATTTGCATTCTGACTAATAAAATTTGATTAGATTACAAAAACAGCCTATAATACAAAGAATCTAAGAACTACCGGTATATAATGATTTGGGCAATATACAGGTGTACACACACATGCAAGCTTTATTTCACATGAACAACTCTATCTTGCAACTACATGTTTCTTCAATTCACTTCAAATAATGTCATTTCCATAACTCAATCAAAACAGAAAAAAATGCTTACATAAAATGAATATCAAATGATATTTGCAATATAACATAGAAAATGAAACTTATTTGTTACCATACAATCTCAAATGTTGATAAGTAATCAAAGCATTTTAGGATACAATATATATAATCTTATGAATTAAGTCAAATTTTAAAGGAAAAGAGATATCCACTAAAAAGCAGAAGCTATATTTGTGTGGAATCCTCAAAAAAAGAAGGAAAAAGGAAAGGAAGAAAAGAAGAAACAAAGAAAGGAACAAAGAAAGAAAAAGAAAAGGAAAGGAAGAAAGAAAGAAAAAGAAAGTGGGAAAAAAAGAAAATGGAAAAAAAAAAAAAAAAAAAAAAAGGACAGTGGATGTTATTAATAGTGACATTAATAATTACATTTCTTTTTTACATGAATTCACCTTACTGTCTGCCATTGCCCTCACATTGCTACCCCTCGCAACATCCGACCCACTCCATCCTCATTAATCATTAACAACATCACACTCTTCCTGAACATTGATATCATAACTCATCTTGAGTGTGCCATGTTATACAAAAGATAACCTAACTTCATACATTTCTATACTGTCACCGTCTGGCTTTACCTATTTAATCTTTCTTTTCCCCGGCATCCATGTGTCTCTTTTCAAATCTTACTGTATTCACCTTTGTATTCATTGCTTCTTGGTTTTGTCTTTGCCGGGATAAAATAATAATAAAAGCAAAGTCCACTATATGTTTTGAAAGTACAACACTGCACAAGCCAATAAAGCCTTCAAAGAACCTTGATTGATCACGCCATTGATAGCTAGTTATCATGGTCGTTAAGGCTGGATGCCGATAGACTTTTTAATTATTCACCTGCACCTTTCACACAACGGAAGCCTGTATCCATCTCCTCTTTGAAGCTTCTGTATACAGGGCCTCGTGTATGCATAACATCACATTTTAAAGTGATTAGTTTCTCATAACACATGTAGGTATGGTAAAAGATAAATGAACTGCCGGCATGTCATCAGTTTTGATATGACAAAATGCAAAATATTCTTACAAAAATATAATGTAAAAGTAAATCGGAACTTAATTTGAAAATTCCAGCACTTTCATTCATTATGTCAAATATTAAGTGTATCATTGTGGACACGCAACTTATTCTAATTTGGTTACTACTTTGTTTATTCTGAAATGTACCCCATCTTTCCCAACTACTTCATGTTCAACATACATATAGCCTACCAAGTATGAATTATTACCATTATACATGTAGCTCTATGTATTCACAATATTCTATTTTCCTTCAATATTGGAGGAAAATACAACCAAGTTAAAAAATCAAATGGAAAAGGGAAAGGAAAATAATCACAGTCTCCATAACTACCATGCATCATAGCACACAAGTTTGTCAATATGCATTGCAATGTTCAAAATGAACCACCAGAATCGATATGACAAGATCAACAGAAATACAAAAAATTTGATGGCAGATATAGGTGATTCAAATATTTAGAGTCTGCAGCACTGTGATCACCTAGCAACGATTGCAAACAAAATTAAATCTAATTGGCAAATTGTCACGGAACTCCACATCAGTAAATCAATATATCACTGCCAGTTCTTTGTGAGCTCGTCCCGACCTTATCATATCATGATATGTGCAGTATGGGCAGCATACATGTACAATGTTTTATCCTAAATAATATTTGAAAGGAGTTATCAAATCCAGCTAAAATGTAAGTTTGTGAGTTTAATAATAATGATGATACATGAGATCCATTCTAATTAAATGCTCAAGGGGCATCAGATTCCATTGTTATTGTTATATGCATTATGCAGTGTGTATCTCTAACAATAATTCTCATGATAACTTTATGTTTGATTGTACTTTTTTATTGATTGAATCCAGCTACAATATGTAGATACATATATCAAATGTAATTATGTGAATATGCATCAGAATCAATTCTTATTTTGATATGTATCTCAAACAACGATTATCACAATAACTTTATATTTCATTGCACTTTTGTATTGATTGAATCCAGTTACAATATGAACATGTACATGTAGATATATCAAATGCAGTTTTAAGACTGTGCATCAGATTCAATTCTCATTGTGATAAGCATCTCAAACAATTCTCAAAATAACTTTATATTTTCTTTATTTCTTTGTATTGCAATATTTCATGCATTTTATAAGAACATATTTGAAAGAACCTAGATCCATATCTCTTTTTATCAGATTCAATCAGCCTCAAAACACACATATATTGATTAAATCTCTAATTTCAAGTGGATTCTGAATTTCAGAAACAATACAGTTTAACGCATTCAGTTTCAAAACATTGATCATTTGTTATGGATTTTGCTTATCCATTCTCACGAGAGTTCCTCATTTCAGGAAATAAAAGTCAGAAAATTTCCCCTGCTGGGTCCCAGTGAATGACCTGCAAAGTAAGGTGAAGGAAACCAACATTGTTTAGAAAGATGATCATCAAACTTCCACAGGTTTTTAGTATTCATCTCGAAACTTGCACCAGAAACACCTAGCCAAAAGCATCAAATGAACTCAATGTAAACAGAGCAGTCCTTCTAAGATTTCACTTTCAAACTCCAGAGGAAAGTGTTCCAGCAAAGCTCCTTGTCATCCAATATGTCTGAGTATGACAAGGAATCCCAAAATAATATTGGAAGATACAGGGGAAGTATTGTTTCACTGTGACGTCCTTCTAAATCTGGGTCATAATGTGTAACCTCTTTTAACCTTTGAACCTAGCGTCATGTGGCCAACTTTCAAAAGGGATGTCTGCATTCTAACAATCCCTGAGGTACAAAGAAAGGTACAAACTGGAACTGTGAGAATCTCCTCCCCCCCCCCCCCCCTCTCCACAATGACTTTCTTATCCTGTCAGTGCAAGAATCAGTACAAAGTGGATTCACCTTCCTTCCAAGTCCACTTACAAGAATCCGTACAAACTGATTCTGAGGCATCCTCCCCCCCCCCCCCCATCTCTGTCATGCAAGTATCTGTAAAAAAAAAAAAAAACCTGGTACTGTCTGCATCTCATAATCCCTTTAGAGCGAAACATTACAAAAACTGAAACGATGGGCAGTCCCTCTCAAAACGCTTTCTTTTCCCCATGGTACAAAAATCGGTACAAAAGTGGAGTCCCATTTTGAGTTCCCTCAAACTCTAAATCCCTCTTTGTAAAATTAGTACAACCTTGGAAGTTTGGAACATAATACTTCATTAATTCATCCACTGATCTTAAGTTGATCATTAATTAAATTCATATTTGAAACAATTCTTGAAAACTTCTGGACTTTGAAGTGTACAGAGGAACATGCAAATAGTGTCATTTGAAATGCCTTGATTGCAACAGGATTTAACTATTGTGTTTCACTGTGTACCAGTTAACTCTCATATCAACCTGATCTTTAAAAGGCATGTTTTGCATATAACTGTAAACAGTTCCAATCTAGTTCCCTAACTTCCATTTGTTCCCATTGTATAAATACACCAGGAGTCTTGTAGTTAATCTCTTTAGTACACACCAGGGAGTGTTCTATTGTCTATTAGTGGCCAGAGGTTGAAAAGAGGTATTGTTGTACAAAGTTCTTTTTAGCTCAAGGGGGAGCTGATGGCTAAATACTTCTTTTCAATACTCAAGGCCTCAATTACTCTCAAAAGGCAAGGACAAGAGCTGTCCTTATCAGTTAATGTATGCCATTTAGGCCCATCTTGTTACTATAGAAATGGGTTTGAATTGAATTCATTAAAGAGGAAAGCAGCATTACTTAGCAAGATATCTAGAACATACACATGTAATTAAAGGCGATATCAGGTGATTAAATTGTCAAGCTACACTCTACACTACAATAAAAAGTAGTAAGTACTAGTTTGCTGTGTTTTCAGTTAGGATGAAGTGTTTAGGAAATGGAAGACAGAAACAAACACCAAGCAATACATTTTTGATCAAGATGTCATTTTTTAGCATTGTATAGTTTTTCTAACCAATCAGTTATACATATTCAAAGAAGCAAATTGCTTTTTTTGAACAGCGTATAATAATATCTTGGGTGTAGGCATATCTTATCATTATATCATATACAAATTATCAACCACTGTCATATGTTCTTAAAACAATGAAATAGTAGAGTCTACGTTTAATGATTAACCATTTTCAATTATTGATCACGAGTACAGTTATGTACAAAACGTGAGACTGGGTCCATGAAATCCACTCAAGACCTAGCAAAGCTACTGTGCATGCACCCTGTCTAGAAGGCAGACATACATGTACATGTATCTACCAGATGATTAGTTTGTTAGACTTTATGCTCATGACACTGCACTACTTTGAAGATAATCTATGCAAACATAATGTGCTCATGTCTCAACCAGGGTTCATGTTACATCACACAGGACTATCAGTGCATGATTTGCCTATCTAAAGTGTTGGGAGACCCGAAATTACCAACAATTTGATTGCAAAATTTCACTTAAATTGTATCATAATGTGAAAGAGGATGTCATTTAAGAAACACTTCTGCAAAGATTTCCTCCCCAAAATTGTGTTTAAACTTTGGAGACAAATATTGATAAAAGAATACATAATTTGGATTTTTCTGTTGTACGCAGAAAACCTAAATTTTGTATTCGTTCATCAATTCGTTCATCAATATTCCACTTTAAACACAAATAACATCCTCTTTCACATCATGATATAATTTAAGTGAAATTTTGCCATCATATTTTTGGCTCCCAACCCTTTAGAGGGGCTTTAAAATGTTACTAGTATAATGATAAATGCTCTCAAATTCAACTACAATAAGTGATATATCTATCACCAAATAAACAAAATTGTCACAAATTCAGTGTACAGTGTACATCAAATATATTGTAAGAATAATATTCTTTGATATTGAAAAATATTTAAAAGACAATGATGGACTAATCTTGGTATCACTATTAATATTACCCTTGAACAAACGAGACAGATGATTAATCAACACCATGAGCAGGCACCTACATGTATGTTTGCTCGTTATCTTCCACAGATACCCCCCCCCCATCTCATTCTTCCCGCTGCACCACGTCTATCCCCACCCCCTACCCCCCCCCCTCTCTCTCTCTCTCTCTCTCTCTCTCCCTCTCACACTCTCAATTTATCTCTATACCAGTCTACTATTTACACCAGTTGCTACATTCGCATCATCCTTCAGGAAAGCCTTCTTGATAAGTCAAGATGTAGCCAATGATTTCGAAAAGAAAGAGCAAGTCTCTATGAAACAGAATGAACAAGGTCAGGAATTTGTTTGAGAAACAAGGGAGAAGGCTATGGGGGGAAGAGAAAGATACTAAATTTGAATAGGAAAGGAAAAAAGGGGGGGGGGGAATAAAAGGGGGAAAAAAAGATAAAAGTGCTAAAAGTATATACTTACATTTCAAAGTTTCAAAGGCAAGATCGTAGATTTTTCTTTTAACTTTCGAGTCTTTGACACTGATCACCGGAATAGTTTTTGCCTCCTCGAGCCCCTTCTCGTAGGAGAGTTTGTCTGATTTAGGTCCCGGTGACAATCCATTGAATATTTGGCTGGCATAGTGGTATATGAGATGACTCGTCACGTTGTTGTTCTCCAACGACTCCAGACTGGCCAAGATTGTCCCGTCAAGGAGATTCCCATTGCTCTCCATATCGACACCCGAGCTGTGCCAGGACTTGGACACCTTCTGCGGCGAGAATCGATTGTGGGCAGGGGACGGGATGTTCCCAAACGAGCTGCCTTTCTGGCCCAGTTGAGGACTCCACAGGGCCATGATTGCTATTGGGCAAGAAAATGTTTACCGAGTCAATGTTTGATTTCGCTATCTAAGATCCTGGCGCGGAAGGCCAAAATTAGCGTTGCCGTGCTGAGTAGCTGAGGTTCTACGTACGTGCCTGTCAGGGGTATTTACTCTGAGTTGGCATCAGGGCGAAGCAGATATGCTGAGTGAGCAAACATGTTAGTATTGCCTTCATAAAGTACACTGATCGCTGACTGCATCAGAGATATCATTGGGGATTTATTCACTGTTTGTTAATCAGCCTGTGTGCACAGGTAGCAGTGCGCACGAGTCAGGAGTCATAGCTTGGTTGGTTGCTATGGGCGACGTGATGCTCATTTCACAGGTCTGGCTAGGATTTCCAGCTGTAAAGGAAAAGAGAACAAATAGTTTGAAAAGCATTAAATAAATAGAATTGAATGGTATCAACTGTAAGATTATAACATAAAATATATCCATAACTCTGATGACGTTGTCAAACAGCATAGGTTGTAGTCTAACGGCGAGGTGTACATGTACATGTGAAAATGGTTTTGATTTCATAACCAGTTCAAAACCAAAAGATCTTGACAAGGTGATACCCAAATCAATTTTCCTCAAGTGATATATTATCGGCTCCTTTTCATGTTCATTTCAACCACCTCTCAACCCTCTTACATCTGGAGATTTATTGGTATTGTCAGAGTACCAATAAAAAACAATCATCTTAATGAATAGAAGAATGAAATGGGTATTGATTTTTGTCATCTTCAAAAGCTTTTCGTCAGGAGACAACTGAAATTGAATTTCTCTTCACTGTTCATTTGAAGGATTGTTGTCTTACAGATGTTATTGATGTTATTGTTGGTATACAATGGTCTTCACACCTGCGCTGTAAAAAATACAGACCACAGTCCAGTGTCACAACTGATTGCACATTCTTCTTCATTCATTGTTTCTTTCTTTCTTTGTTTACTTCTTTCCTTCTTTATTTTTATCTTCTTTACTTCTTTCCTTCTTTAGTTGTATCTTTATTTGTCTTGTTTCTTTCTCTCTCTCTCTCTCTCTCTCTCCCCCCCCCCCCCCCCCCCCCCCCCCCCATGTCTCTCTCCCTGTCCCTGTCTCTCTGTCCGTCTCTCTTTCTTTCATTTGTTCCTTCTTTTTGCTTTGCTTTTGCCTTTCTTTTTTTTCTTCTTCTTTATGACATACTGTACTGCATATATTATATGGAAAACAATTGCTGGTATCTACAGTACGTACATATGAAAAGAATGCTTATAACAGACTTTGTACAAACAACAGCAGCTCTCACTTTATTTCTATAGCAGAAAAATGAAACCCTGCAAGATGAAATACTTGAAAACCTATAAAGCCCTAATCACCCGCCTAATGACTATCTAGTGAGATACAACAAGCCTATAACTGATAAGACTATTTGCCTTTTGCACAATTGGTAATTTCTCTAAGGACTGGTTGCTGCGAAGCAAAGGCATTCCGCAGTCAAAACGTAAACTAAATAGGCAACAAATGATCAAAACAAATTCAATATCTGAACAAACATACATACACATTTACTTGCACACATTTTCCAAGAAAAAGAAAGCATTGTAAATCAGGAAATACATACTTTAAAAGCATAATAAATTTACCCTTTTTCTTGTAATTGTTAGATATTATATGCGAATTGATTTGCTTACATTTAGGCCTGTGACAAAATAATGGATATTAATGAGATTCACAGAATTCTAATTAGCAGGAGTATGACACCAACGTCAACATTCTTCCAGACAATAGACATCATTCATTAAAACGCAATTAAAATGCACCAACATGGTCCTTTTATCACAGGACATCATACAGGCCTATAATGTCCTTTAAAAATTAAGGACACTGCTGGCCGGTACTCAACAACGTCAGTGTATTGGAACTGGGTCTACAAGGTGAAGCCATGCAAGAAATTTGGTAAGGTGATAATCTGTATCCTTACAATTTCACATGTGTCTTTTAAGACTATTGTAGCACACAATTAGGATTTGGATGTTCACAGAATTCTAATTAGCAGGAGTATGACACCAACGTCAACATTCTTCCAGACAATAGACATCATTCATTAAAACGCAATTAAAATGCACCAACATGGTCCTTTTATCACAGGACATCATACAGGCCTATAATGTCCTTTAAAAATTAAGGACACTGCTGGCCGGTACTCAACAACGTCAGTGTATTGGAACTGGGTCTACAAGGTGAAGCCATGCAAGAAATTTGGTAAGGTGATAATCTGTATCCTTACAATTTCACATGTGTCTTTTAAGACTATTGTAGCACACAATTAGGATTTGGATGTTAATGCAAAGGACAAACTCCCAAGACAATTTTGTTCTGAATGGGGAGGCTTTTACGTTACAAGGACAGGCAACTGAGGCAAGTGTCATACAATCACATCTTCAATTATAACAGATTTTATGGTGGCAAATACAGAGGAATTTAAGACCCATATTTCACTTTGTCAGTAATTTAGAAGAAACGTACTAATACATATCACTATTTAGAAAGTCGATACATTTTTCATCAAATTTCAAAATTTCCTTTAATAGTGAGCAGTCTCAATTTTGGCTGAACTTACTCTCCACACAATATAAAATAAGTCTTGTTCAATGGCCTTTAAACATTCACCCTAAAATATTACATTACAAATATGCCAGAAGCTATTGTCCTATAATACAAAAAATGACAATTTAAAACATATGTCCACATACCTCCAGTTTTGTCAGAAACATGCAGACGATCTCACCGAATAAACATGGGTACATTCCTCTGAGCACATATTGCTTTTGGTCTACCTACTCCTCAGACTCCCCTTTTGTGTCATCCCATTTCGGGTGTGAACATGCACAAAAGAAAATCAATACCTGTTTCTGAGGAGCTACTAGGCTGAAGCCTGAAGTTGCTTTCAGAGTTTTTGAATCGGCAGCTGAGTTCGTATTGACAGATATTCAATTGGTCAATAACTTGTCTAGATGCTGAATTGATACAGGGAAGGTCAGGTGCTTTTCTATCATTTATTGATTCCTATTGAAACAAAGTGCATGTTATGAGGCTGATGACGTAAGACTTTTTTTTTTCAAATTACATAATCAGCCAGGAGTCCATATTATTTCTTTAAGGGATCATTTCATTATCCACAATACATTTCTGTTTTTCTTCTTCTTCTTCTCTATTTCCTATTCAGGAACAAAGCCTCTTTTCTGAATTTTGTTTATAATCTAAATTTGATTTATGTAGTGAATCAATATTTGTTTTAAAGTTCAATTTGAATTTCAAGAAAATCGTTATGTACAAACAAGATGGTCAATACTTACAACTACAGGGCATTGAGAATGGTCATTCACCTTAAAGACCCCTGGAAGCTGTAAAATGTGGTCATGTACTGGCAGCTTCTTTAAGACATTGTCAATAGATGAAGACCTTGTCAAATAATGCAAGTACATGTACACTGTATGCACACCACTTAAATGTCAACGATTCTTGGGAGTTTTTAAATTTTGGTCAAAGTCCAACTCTGTTCACAACATTCCTGGAAGAAAAAATATCCTTTTCCAAATGCATTTTTATGTACAATATCTAAAATTTATTGAAGTGATGTTATCTTCTTATTATGAGAGAACACAAATGTGTTCGAGTTTAATCATTTTACTTGGTATCTATGAGTTTCATTTTTCCTTTATAAAAAAAAAAAGATGATGCAAATCTTAAATCAATTGACGTGCCATGTCATCTGAGAGACATTTTTCTTGCCACATTTACTTCTGCTCGAGGAATAAACCCTGGCCCTAGCTGACCCCTACAATCCAACTGTTTTTTTGTAGATCTACATTTAGTTTTCAACTCTTCATCACATGTGCTTTATTTTACTTCATTACAATGACCTAGAGGTCTACATCACCTATAATTTTAGCCACCTGCAATTCATTTACAGGTCTCAAACACTTGATAAAATTTTAAGGTCCATACTAAACTTTAAACCTTCTGTTGGGTTTTGCCGGTCTAATTTTGCCGGTCTCACTCTCATTCTATAAGTAACTAGGCCTACCGTAAAGTAAAATCTAACCTAGAATATGTTCACTCAAAAAAGTCATAGGGCCTAGACCAGTGGCGTACCTGGCATAGCTCGTCAGGGGGGGCAAGCGATTTGGACGAGCAAGGGGGGGGGGATGATGTGTGGCTGTGGAAAACTGGAAATGGGTGAAGGGGTAATAGGGGGCGTCCCAATAACACAGTAGAGATTTTGTTGATATTAGTATTTGCAATTGGGTGTTTCTATATCTTTGGTCTATTTTGATTTAAAAGAAGGAATTATCTTTTTTTTTAAATGTTAAATGTATTGAATTTCGACAAAATCAGTGGTTAACTTATCACTGGTAATGACAATGCTTCTATTAACGTACTTCTATTATTCCTCTTTGAAGAAGCTTTGACATATTATGTTCCCAATTCTGCATATTTGGAAATGTAATCAAGTGTATTTGACAATGAATGGAATTGTATTGATTTGCATTTGTTTCATTTCCACATGCACAATTAAAACTTTAAAAGAATATTCAGAATAAGCATCTATTCAATCATTGAAAATAAATGTAGTAATTAAAAGTAAGAAAAAAATGAAACAGTAAAATGATATATCACTAGATATAAGAGAAATCACTCACTGGGAGGAATGTCAGAAGGTTGAGGAAAATGACATTGGAGAAAGATAGGGTACAGAGAGATAGGGTACATAAGGTAGAAAAGGTGGAAATAAGCAGAGGAATGTTGAAGAATTGTATATCTGAAGAAATGATAACTGGCTGTAGGTCAGACGATACAAGAAAAGCTAGGGAAATTTGAGGATTTTGGCAAGGAGGTTAATAGCAGATCAAAACAAACAAACAGAAAGCACTCTGAAACTTGATTACAGGATACTTGTTAAATGAACAAAGCAGTTTCAGCAGACATCATCAATAAAATTGTATACTATACAATTTATTAATCTTTTGAAACTCATCTTCAACCAGTCTTCAAAAGTAGTATATTGTTTCAATAAGTTGTCCTTAGAAATCCAATGTTTGACCTTTATAAACCAATGCATAGAAATCCAACTAGTTCTTACTAATGGTAAGTGGAAGAGGTTTGAGGTTTCTGGCAAGAAAGTTAATAAATAGGTCAAATGAATAGTAAGCACTCGTAGCTATAATAAAACACATATATGATTACAAGCAACTAATTACTGAAATGAACATAGCAATTTCAGCACACAGCATCAATAAAATTGTATACTATACAATTCATAAATCTTTTGAAACTCATCTTCAAGCAGTCTTCAAAAGTAGTATATTGTTTCAATAAG